TCGTATGAATCTCGACTGGCCAAGTTGAACCTTTTCCCGTTGTCATATCGCAGAACTAGAGACGACTTGATTACAGTTTTCAAATTGCTTAGTGATAAATTTGCACCTGTTATGCCCTCATTTTTCTTGTCTTCCAGAACAGAGAATTTACGAGGATACTGCAAAAGAGTTCACAAGTCCAGGACAAATTACTTGTCAGTTGACGATCAACTTTCTCATCAAATCATCAACGAGTGGAATTCATTACCTCAGCACGTGGTTGAGGCTCCATCCGTCGACTCTTTCAAAAGAAAGTTGGATCAACTGAGGGACCACCATTGCCGGGACTAACACAGCCCATCAAGCCTCCTGTCCTTTCCAAATTGGAACTAAACTGAAACTGACTAATGAGTTCATTTTTGAATTCCTACTGCATTACAAACTGACTCGGTATAAGTCCAAAGTAATTCGGGTCAAATACGTGGAGAAAACTGAACGAGCAATCCAAGTTAAATCACAAATTTCTGGCACTCATATCTCCTTTCTGGTCACGGAACTCAGCAATAAGACAGGCAGTGGTCACGTCATAAAATATTGCATAAGATAGTTTGTGAAGATAAATAACGTTTAATCTGGAAGACAAAATCATCGATAGATGGTCGATTCTTACTAACAGCAAGCACATACTATATAGGTATATGTGCCTTGTGGCTATCCTGGTAAACCGATATGCCAGCAACTAAAGTTTATGACAAAGTAAAATAAACTAACACAATCAGTAAAAAGCGAACAATGTAATTGTTATTCAGAGCTTGACAACGCCTTTTACGTAACACCTTTAAAATCAAGTTATACTAACCCAGTCAAATCAGAAATCGGAAATGTAGAGGTTTGAAGACTTATTTAGAAAGCTGTCGATGTGTTGACAAGCGTATGGTCTAAGCTGACTAGCAGTTGCAAGGGATGAGTGGCACAGCGTACCTACTCGTGGTTTGGTGTGGATGCGTGACCAAGCGCCTTCATCTAGGATGTGCTCATTAAAACTAACGAGGTTAGCATCAATGTCGAAGATTGACAGAACTATTTATCTCGGGGATTTATTTACCTCTAAGAAAAGCTATTCAGTTAGAGTGATGCAACGAGAAAAACAGAATTGTAAGTAGGAGTGAAAAATTACTTGCTCACTTTGAACCGAACATGAATGAGATACACAGAAATAAAGGTAACTTAGCATCTGCGGCACACCAACGGTTGCTCCCTACTGAAATGGATATATTGAGGGATTCTGAAGCACACGCGAACATACACTTACTGAAAGAGTTCAGCACTACTACTGTAGTGAAGGAAAACACAGGTGAGGACAACCGAACTATGTTTAGCACACAATTACAGTTACTTGGTAAAATAGAAAAACCATACTATAATACCTAATTTGCAAAATGTTCAATAATTGTCTCAGACTTCATTGTTCTTGTATTTCTATACTAATTGCTTTCTATTCCCGTTCTTCGTTTCTTGATCTTCCCAATCTTCTGCTGCCAGAAATTATATTTTTGACTCGCGTTATATACTACTTATGTCAATATAAGTAACACGCACCACACTACTATTCGGAAAAGCTGTAGAGAAATTATGAGACATAAATGTACGAATATGTTCATATAGCAATTACAAACTTAGCACCAAAGCTGAACATGCAGCGCTGAAAGTCCGAGTTGCTTTAATGATAGCATAGGCTCGACCAGCTCCGAGCACTTTAATTACGGGTTGACTGCCTTGAAACTTTTATTACTACTGATTATTGTCTGTTGCTATCATTGTTAAATGTAAGCGTATTGTGTGTTCTCGATGGGTCATCGGCACACGTTTTCCAAATTCCCCTTATCCCATTCTAGATGCTTCCCTAGAACATAAAGTACCTTCTGGCAAGACGCGTACCACCACACTCGGCACTGCAAACCCCTCTGACATACTTACAACTGGTAAGTGGTCACCAGTCCCGCAGAACAATGGTAATGACTTCAAATAGACTTGTTAGTATTATTGTTGTATCCGAAGAAGATTAAGTCATGGGTAACTTCTAGGAAATATTTACGGACCATTATTAAATATATATTCTTCTTGTATAACAATTAAATAACTAGATTACATGTATCTATAATTCTCTTATTTAAGATTTCGTTTGACCTATTGGGTACTATTATACAACTTATTATTCTCAAGTTATCCCCAATCTATTAGTCACACTATCTCACACTCAGAACCATTTCTGACTTCATCTTGCACATTTGTTATTTCCTATTTTATGGCATAATGCGATCTGATTTGCTAGTATATAAAGTGTATATGTTTGAAATACACGATTCTTACCTTAGGAGCTGAGATTGTGTTCCGGACTCAAACGGGCAGGGCTAGGCAAGGAGAACCAATAAGGACTCAGAGATTGACTTTAGGCTGCTCGTACTGGTTAACGCGTCATTGGTTTGGCACAGGGCCAAAGACGTATAGGTCGGTGACCCAATTTGAGGTTTCGTCACGTGTTATTTGACGGGCCTTAAGATCATGACAATTATTTATTGGAAGCAATAACTTTGCCTATTTCACAATGTATATGGGCAGGACGTCTGCCGTTTACTAATACGATATTTACGGGAAAAGTTCGGGATTTCCTTTGTTTAAGACTAAGGCACTGTAGATATTGGTGAGACCCTATTCCGAAATCAAATAAATTTGAAGTGGGAACAAGGAAATGTGAAGAGTATTCGAGTATTTCTAGAGCGCAATTAGACATGGAGTTTGTAGGATTCTTTATACTAGATAAGATAAAAATGCCAATATTTGTCGTGACAAGTTGGAACGCATATCTATGTCGCTTGTGAAGACAATCCAAAAAAGTTCAAACATACGTAAATCTTTTTGTATTGTCCCGTGAATAAATTTCTAAACAGTTTTCTCCCGTCTCACGGTACTAACCAAAAAATTACACATGAATATGCACACACTTGGGAAAGGTGGAAAATCATAAAGTCAATCCAGATGACGATGATTAGTTTTTTAGTGAAGTCCACACATTAAACTAAGATAAAAGAAACTTTACTGACTGAATGCGTCCCGTTCGAGTCGAAAGGAGAAGATATAGAAGACTAGAAACGAAGTGGACTAATCAAGTTAGCAAACAAAGAAATTCAGTTCGAATACCACAAAACATTGAAAGCACTGAACAATGAAAAAAGACATATGAACTCCCTAGCCATCAAATTCGAAATTTTCACCTCTAAAGGTGACATACTTTCAACATTATCTATCGTATTCTCCCAATAGGATGCGAAAGTGCCTTCCATATGATGTTTGAGTTAGTAACCCAGGCCTATAAATTGCACGAAATGCTTTAATATCATTGCATCACAGACAATTAAAATTTACCTTAAAAAATCTAATAATTTTCAACTTTTCATTTTTATATGCCATATATTTCTTAAAATACTTTTATAGTTAACCTTTCCTACTTTCCATATTCTATGCTTTAATATTTATGTAACCTTGAATGTTGATAAATGTTCTTAGTTGGTTACATAAGCACCTTGTTAGAAAACAAACACGTCTATAGAAATCAATCAAAGTAAGAGATAATTCTTTTAAATATTTATTAATATTGCCTTGATAAACGAATAGTAGATCCACTATTAACTCATATTTTCTATATTTCAATTGACCGCGTTAAATTAACAGAATGAAATGTAAATATCAATTATATCAAACATAAAGAGCAAAAATCATTTAAATTAAGTATATTTCTTATAATCTTTAAGAGTTTAACACTGTTTTATTAGTTCTGTTAAGAAAAGAAGAGAACAAAAGAATAAATTTCATGATATACAAGGCAGCAACAACAACAAAGAAGATATGACTTGCAAAATAATTAAAAAAATTACTTTGATTTTGTTTTCAAATAATCAAATGGACAAAAATTACAAGATTTAACTTCTTTGATATTGGGAATAAAATGGAAATGATAAAAGGAAACAATGTATTGATTATGTTTCTCATTTACTATTGATTATTTATTTGTTCAATAAAATTTATGTAATTGAATAATTGAAAGTGTAATTTATTCCTTAATAGGAAATAAAATCATAACTAACAATGTTTGATGATAAGTGAGTTAAATACTTTTAATGAGAATAAGTTTAAAATAAAATAAAGATATTCTGTATTAATGAGTATAGTAATGGTAGTAGTAATAATAGTAGTATAATGTCGTTATTGAAAACAGGATTAGTGTATATACACACAAATGTATAAAAAGCACACGATCCACGTGTGTACACATTGATACATATTATATTTAAACAAAAAGAAAATATGTATTGATAGTAAACAGTATAAACAATGGCTGTTTATTTTTAGGTGTATTCATGCATTTTGTTTTTTTTTCAAAACAAAACAAAGAAAAACAGGTTGCTAATTACCACGTACACATACAAAACAAAAAACAAAAAGGAAACGCATTTTTCGAGTATAATACAATCATGTCTATCTTTTTAAATACAAATATTTGGAAGAAATTGAATGATTTAAAATGGAAGGCACATAATTTTAAACTTTTAATGTAGAGAAATAATTAAAACAAAATAAAAAGAAGTAGGATGTTCTTCGAAAAGGAATAATAAACTAAATTAAATATGATAAAATACATACACGCATACATATACAAACAAAAAAGATACACGAGCATACCTGATGCAAAAGAGTTTGTGTATGTACGTGTATAACATGGTGATAAAAACGCCAAAAGCAATGTCTATTTCAAACAATTGTAAGTGATATATATGTATAGAGGATGGGCTAAGGACATAATAAGTCTTGAAAATAAACAGTGTCACATATGAAATGCATGTTATTAAAAAAAACGTTATACAGCACACATACATACATACACACAAATATAATCTAGATCGAAAACATATCCATCTTCCTATTCTGATTATCATTATCATACAATAAAAATAATGATTTTTTATGACGGGGTTAATCAAATATCTGAAAGTTAATCAACTCATTACTGATAAACTGGATATTAATTTTTTTTTTGAATAAGTGTTTGAGATGGTATTCCAAGAATATTGCCTACTAATCTTAATCATCACTAGAGTCGACATATCCACTTGAAGTGGTTGACTTCTGAGAGTCATTACGACCAATATTTGTTGTTATCGTGGTATTAGTGTTAGTAATAATATTTGTTGTTGTTGTAATAATAGTAGAAGGATCAATAGAAGTGGTAGTTCCGGACATAAAAATACCAGGACATGGTGATACAACATCAATAACATCGTTATCAATGAGTAAATCATCGTGTAAAGACGGTGTCTTATCTAACTGATTGTTTTGATCCAATGAAGCATCATCAAATATAGAAGCAACGCCCACAAATTTAGGAGTTGAAGTGTCTGAAGTGGAAATAGTTCCAGATGATGTTAAAAGATCGTTATGATTTTCTGATATTTCTTCCACTGTTTCATCGTTGTTCACGTGATCATCCTCAATATCATCAATTTCTTCTTCATAATAATAATCTTCATCTTCATCTGTGGCAGATGGTGCACATCCGCTGTCACGAATAACATTCACTGTTTTCTGTTCTGCATCATTAGATTTTGTGATATGATTTGAGAAATAGCTTTTGGCATTTTCCAACACATCAGACACAAGTTGTGCAGCGACTGAATTCAAATCTAAAAAAATAAGTATACAGAAATAAAGTTCACATTTTACAAGCAGAGGGATCCAAAACGCGCATGTCGTCCTATTTGTAACTTGTTATCAAGATATACCTGCATCCCAGAGTTAATGTTCACTCCGGGACTCGAACCCATTACCGTTCGCCTCAAACGTTATTGCGTCATCCACTTAGCTAGTGGGTGAAAATGACTACTGGCTTGTGCAATGGAATGACGTTTAATTCAGCTTTGTATTGGTTGCTTGAATCTTTCCATGTTTGTCTAGGAATACAATTGATCGGTTTCGTATTGGCATATGTCCATCCTGTGAGGATTGACTCGATATTGCCTTAAGTCACGAGCATTATAAGCAGAAATGGATGATGGCTATCAGAGAAATCTAGGACGTGCGTTCCGTCTTATTTGGGATTCGTCAGCGAACGGTACTGAGTTTAGTCCCGTGTAGAGTAGAGAGTATAGCTTGTTTAAGAGTCATAAACTAGGATGAAACATCTGTTCAGTACTTTATAGTTACTAACAGATGTTGATGACGAGAACCCTCTTTAAAAAACCTCATTTGTAGAAAAATAAAAAAAGTACCTTGATCTGAATTATTTACAGATAAATCAAATCCACTATGCAATGCATCCGATTGTTCAGTGGAAAGTGTGTCCAGTTTTAATGTGTCAGTTGCTTGTGAACAAGACAAATCGATGATAGAGTTCGCCAATGTTCTAACTTCTTCATCTTCAACTTCATCAGTACTCCCACTGACTGGAAATTCAGCATCGCCAACTTTAGTCCAATGAACTTGCGAATCGATTTGAACAGATGGTCTTGATAAACTTTTTCTTGAACTAGTAGATTCTTTTAATAAATTATTCGGCGATGGGTCTTGATGAATTAACTAAAGAATAAAATAAAAATTTAAGTAAACTAGAAACTAACTTGATTAGGATAAAAAAATGTAACTTTAAAACGAATTTAACACGCGGATATTCCTTAATACGAAATAAGACATCATGAGAAGAAAAGTGATAAATCAGAAACATAAATATGACCTTGTCTATAGTTAGCAAATGATATCCCAAAATCATCTAACAGTCAATTCGAAAAAAAATGTTCTCCAGGTAGAAAATGAAAAGAATTTTGGAAGATGAAAACAAAGTAATGACCAACCCATGCACTGTGCTTTGGTGAAAAAATACGCTCCAGTTATTTTTTTAAAGCAACATCAACATGTCTAAGAATTCATTACGTATCTACGCTTTTACTACCTTAATGGAAGACTTAGAGCAGTCATGAAGGATAATAGTATTAAAATATAAAAAGAAAACAAAAATGAGCCTCATACTTCCGTGAGAATGTAAGTTTCACCTACAAAAATGATTCAGTTATTACAAAAGATTTCTTCAAATTAAACTATGTGGTACGAACTATTATTCTAACTTTGGGACGTTTGATTTTTATTAGAGTCATACTAACTACTAATAAGTAAATTAAGATTATAAAGTAAAATATACGGAATTTTCAATGTACTACGTTCAATCTTTGAAAGCGACAAACGTAAAATAGTCTTAACTTTAACATACACACCTTAAACTTAACTCATAGTTAAAAAGAGCAGAAACTGGTGCTACATCTTTCTAAACGTGTCTTACATGTTGAACACGAAGTTAATAAACAACATACCTTGCACAAACACATGACAGATTTTGTAAATACTGGAGCCATTGTAATCAATTCTTTATTCAATAAGTTATCAAAGAAAGTGAAATCTAAATTTGAAACAGGACCTGCTTCAGACTTCCTTGATCTGCATTTGGATTTTCGCTTGTCCTGAATCTCGATACGACTACGTTCACTATCTGAACCGACTAGGTTTGGTGAAGAATGTGTAGCTTTGGAGATGGAGTCATCTGGTTGAGCATCGATAACATTAAACCGAGATCTTTCTGATTCAGTACTACCAATTACTTTATTGCTTCCAATATTCAGTACAGGGTTCCGGCTAAGTGACTCTAGATAACCTTCTGTCCATGACAATGAGCTTTGTCTTTTCTTCTGCCGCATTAACATATCGAGCTGTTGATGACCTTCATCGTTTATAGATTCAAGATGATTTTGTATTTGATTTAGAAAATATGTTGAAGGTTGTGGAGCAAGAGTTCGAGTTATTAAATTGTAACATTTTGCGAAATATTTTATCTGGAATAACAGGATTTTTCCAGGATTCAAGATATCATTCACGTCATTGCCCTATGAACCAAAAGTCAGACGGGATGAATGTAAAGAAAATAAACAATGTTTAATACAACTTTGAGAAGTATGTTTTATTGTATAATGATTATAACTGAACTGTCAAATGATATCAGACTCATTATTAAGAATGGATAGAAAATGAAATAAAATTTCGCATAGAAATGAGCTCGCTGAAGTTCTTGCACTAATTAAAAAGACAAATATAGGTGAATAGGATATTTTATTAGCAGTAAGGTAAAAGTTAGAGTAGATCATCAGCTTACGAAAATAATTTAGTAGATGTAATTCAAGGTGACGGGCGCCCTTTGACCACTTACACAATATTGAACAGAGTTACCACTATAGATTATGATCACTTTCTTTTCATGAATTCCTTAGCGTAATAATCTTACCAAATTTTCACATTGGTTACATTGGTGTACAATAATTTTTGAAAAGATGTTGCAGTGACAATTCAAGAATACAATTTTATAGAATGGTAGAATTAATCATCACCAACGTGAATGAACAGAAAATACACTTGCTCTCATTAGTAGTTTATATCTCACTGAGCCACACGATGATCGAAGTACCTGGTCAGTGATCACGGAAAATGATTACTGAGCAAAAACACAAGTCAGTCATAAACGCGAAAATCTGTCACAATTATGCATCATTCTGAGTTTTCACACTATATAATCAAACCGTAAGGGAATTATGAAGATGAATATCATAGTAAAATTAATAGTAGTATCAGTGGTAGTAAAAAGAGAAGACCCAGAAATGCGAATTCATCTAGTAAAAATTATTGCATAATTCTGCGACTCAGGATGTATCTGGGCCACATTTCAGCTATTCTGAACCATGTCACACAATGTATCAAGATACTGAAAGTCCCATAGACCTCATAAACGTATTCTAAATCGAGTAACATGACTCAGATGAATAGTCTATGACTTCAACGACTGTCAGTCAAATCTGAAGAACCTATGACATGTGTACATTGGTTCAAGTTGTTAGACCACATTAGCACAGCAAGATAAAAATTGTCAGGACAAATCCCAGAGTAGTAGAGGCAATAACAGTAGTAGTGGTAATCGAAAAGACTATGCATCCAAGATACGAGTCGACTAAATGTAAATTAGTAAAATAGACTTCAAAAATTTATGGAGAAGACAAAGAGTGAATGCAACTGCAATATTGAGTACGATTCTGAGTCATGTCATTCATGTCATTACGATAATCATGCGATCCACAATTACGTAGTTGGTACCTACCTACAAGTGTCTGAGTCCAAGAAACAGTCTTTGTGTGTTGGTTTGGCTACCTATAGCTTTCTTCTAACCTATTCCTACAATAACTGTCATCGCAGGTCGAGGTAGTTGGTGTATGGGCTCACGTAATACAGGTTTTAGCCATCTCAGTCAATAAAGATTCCCTACCTCGTCAATGGATTTGTAATCATTACGTGGTACTCTGTGTCTGACCTCGAAATCAATCAAGAGATTCGATCGTAAAAGTAAATACGTACTCTTTGTAAAATATTTATACACAATACTTGAATTACTAAGTCTTGTTATAGGTCTCCTGTTAGAAACCTATGTATGTTTCAGATTTTTGAACATAAGAGATTTGTAAAACATCCAGTCCCATTCAGTGTCTGCGTATGGATGCACAATGATGTTTAAGTACGATTATTTCTAGCGCATGCTATTCATAATTATAAGAAATAAGAAAACAGTGTTTGATTTACAGATAAACTAAAAAGACTGACAATACAAATTTAGGCTTAAATAGTTTTTGTTTAAATCTGGAAAACAAACAATCGCACTTGTTTTCAATATATACTATTTGTCAAGATGAAAAGAAAGTCAGAATATATAAACATGTTTTTTTCCTTTTCAGCATTCACTTGAATAAGATTAATTCAATGACCACCACCATGGTATGAGAATAGGATTGGCTAATAAGAAAATGCAAATATTGTAGTGAGAGATCAACGACTAACTAAATTCTATGTATTATTTTCTGCAACACACACAGAAAACGAGTAAAATATTCATTGTGATGGTACTGTAGTGAACGAGAACACATGTGTGGGCAACTAAATGTTTGAACATAAAATTAACGAAAGTCTCAGTAAAATCTGAGAACTATACAGTAAGTACTTCATTTGAAAAATGTCCATTAATTGTCTCAGACTTGACTGTCCAGATCAATTACTTTCCGTTCTCGTTCTCTCCTCTTCGATCTTCTAAACCCTCTGCCTCCAGAAATTCCACTTTCCATTAGTGTTACATACTACTTATATCCATTGATATCAGTAGCACAAATCACAGTACCACTTAGACAGAAATTTCAAAAGCTTGGTCTCAATAATTAGAATTAATGATTGAAAAATTCTCATATCAGTCAACTACCCATTAAGATTCTCTTATTGGGTTTTGTAAACGTTTGAAGAAAACAGTCCTATACTCAGTATCAACGATTTATTTAACTGTAATCAACTATGTTCAAACTTTTTGTTTAAAAAACGCAATCATATGTACGTAGAAACATAGAAACATGTAACAGCATATAAACATTTATGTAATGAGAGTCGTCAAAAAACTTTAATAGTTTCAATAACATAATTTACCTCATTCATTGCATTAGCTAATTCTTCTTTAGATATATTATATTTTTCACAAATAATTTGTTGTGTTTGTTCTAATAGTTCATCTTGAAAGAAAAGAATTGTTTAATAAAACAAAATAAAAAAGAAATTAATTAATTACTGAACTTAAATATAATTGAATCATGAATGATAACTATAATTTCATTTATTAATAAAATGACAAATTAGTCCATTTGAAACACAATAAGATAATTTAATGATGAAGGATGACAGTGAATCAATGAATTTCTATTCAAAGTTCAAATTTGATCACATTTATGACCACTGATCCTTTATTATTTTTTTTGGAAGAAAATAAATCAAATTTGTTTGAAAACAGGATAAGAAGAATGACAACGATGACAATGATAACTGAATTTGTTCATGTTATATATTTGACATTTTCCTATCTCGTTAGTTAAAGTAGTCAATCAATCAACTAATCATTGTGATTATGACATAGATTATAATTAAATCAAGGAAGCAAGCATAGTTTATATGTATGTATAATGTGGAGATAGTTAAATTTATTGTAAAACTTATACTTTTTCTAAACACTAGTTGGTATCAATCTAAGAATATGACAGAAAGACATGGGAATAATAAAAACCTCGTTATATGGAGATTTTCAGTGATTTGAAGATAGTTTTAATCCAGAACTGTTAGAGAACTATATCTGAATACATACATAAACTAACAGTATATACACAATCAAACGAGCTATAACACAATAAAAATAGAATATCACTAGAATTTTGAAGATAATTTTACATCATGTTCACCATGAAACGTCACTGATCACCCTACTCTACGTCCACTATATATCTATCTGTTTATTTATGTTGCTAAGTTTTATTTTCGCATATTAAAAGCATGTGAATAAAAGAGATTAAAATTTACATTTTGATTTTAACCTATTTACAGTGTTGTTATTCGATAAAATTGTAATTTTATGTGTCTGTACCCAATCTGAATTACATGCCAATTTGACAATAATTAATCATATTTATAAGTTCATATCGATTACTATGCGCCTTTCCATCGCTGGTTAATAACACAAACATGAATGGTGATGGTGATGATGATAATTTAAAGTTATTGTTACAATTAAAACTGAAATAAATAAACAAAACTGGTCTACGTCATTGATGGTCATCGTAATGATGATAATTAATTATAAATGTAAATAATAAATGTTAAAAGATTAAATGTCTTCATTCTATTACAGATACAAACACACACACATAGCAATACACATTACTAGTTGACAAGAATCAATCGTAAAATACTTTATAAATACATTTATAATCGAATTTGGCAAGTTTGTGAGTGTCAAAATAAGAATTTGATGTAGTAAGTACGTGTAAAACATGATAATTCAAAAGCTACTCGGTGTTGGTCAGGATATTTTGAGTTTTGACAACAAGCAGAGATAACGATCAAAGTCAGAAGAAATAAATCCTTCGATCAATCTAACCAGTGTACATGAGCAAAAGTTGTTTATTTTCCGAATTCTTTAGGAGTAGGAACTCCAATATCAGTGTATCAATACAAATGTGACTCGATAAATACATTAATGTAACATGGGTTGGTTTTTTTTATTATAAAGAATATACTACATTTCTGATCGACATAACTAATTAAGAACACATCTTTTATTATATGATTAGCTATGAAATCAATATCGAACAGTTTTCATTGCAGAGTTATACGGCAATCACTTTGATAAAAAATTACCATTTCTTATAGTGCATAGAGTGAAGTGTATATTAAATAGGAATGGATTCCTCTCTATCTCTTTCATTTCAAAACAACTTTTATATATTCATCCCTTTATTATTTCTCTTCGATTTCAAATTATCAGTTTGGATCGGTTCATATTACGTTTTATTTACATCAAATAAAATAACCAGATTCCAATTCTATAAATAATTAGTACATGAGTTTTATGCTAATGAATCATTTAACTATACTTTAGAACTAGGTCAGATAAGCATAAATTATTTGTTTATAAGGTACATTTATGTGCATGACATAAAATACTACTGAAATAACCTTTAAAACGCATACCTATAACGTATTCACAACTTCAAATAATAATCGATAGAATTCAATTAGTAAGCAGTAATTTTATTTAGCCATCGTTAGATAATAAGTGTCATGAATAAATGCTTCATAAAATAGGAGATGAAGAGAGACAACTATTAGTTTAGAGTAATATTGAACCAGCAATGAAAACTGACTTCATGAGTTGATCTTATCCATAACACAAATGATCAGAGACATCACATTTCAGCAATCCCTATTATATGGGAATAAATGTCATAATTCCGTAATGCAATTTTGAATAGAATAAAATTAAGTTGGAAAAATAGTTCGAAATGGGAAGAGAGTGAATGTTAATAGTGCACACATACAATCATACACAGGAGAATCAAACTGAGGATCTTGACCTCTCGAATTAACTTCAAACTAATCAGTGGCAGTTCTGCAGCACACATTTTAATCTTTATTCATTCGTGAAACATATACATATATCATAAAATATCACTGGTGGAATTTATTTCGCTCTTGAGATAAATTAAACTGACCAACCAAAACCTTTTACTATAAAGTAATACACAGGACGAAGAGTATGAATAATGAAATTACCAAGAAAAAATAGACAAAATGATAAAACGTTGAGGAAATCGTTTACTAGATCTTGCCTCACACTTCATTAAACTGGAATTTCAATAACGTTTGTTTAGTGTATGGAAAACATGTCTAGAAAGAGTATGATTAAATACTATAAATGACCTCAGTCAATCTCCACTAACCAAATATGAGAAAAGTATTAATTATTCATAATCTACATAATTTTATATGCATATTAAAGTCATGTTTGGTGAAGATCAAACTAAAAACGATATTGCTCGTTTATATTACTTGACTCGACTAATGTGTAGATAGAAAATTCTTAGTATTATATAAACATTATCTGCATCATGGTGAAGAAGTGGACTTTAGTAATATGTGTAATAATAATAATAATATAATAATAATAATAACAGTGAAGGTACTAAGTTTTATTAAATCATACTTATAAAACTCAATTATAATGATACAATTATGTCGAATATTTATAATTTTAAAAACACTTTCATTCAGATTATCATTGTGACTATTTTACAGAATCATATTTTGATTATTGTAAATTATTACTTTCACACATGAACGCATATCACAATAACCACATGGTTAAAATGTTTTTCACATCACTATTTACAGTAAATAAATATGCGTGCAACTGTATTATTTAAAACAAAGGAAATGATTATTTTTATGTTTTCTTAAACAACTTGATTAATGTATAAAAACCAACTGATCCACAATATATATTGCGTAACTTTATAGTTAACCATCCTTATTCCTACTAATTAACATCAAAGTGAAGTGAAGAAATAAACCGAAACTAACAATGAACAACAAAACTGAATTCGTCGTCATCGGCGTCATTATTACTATTAGTTTTTTAGTTTCTGTTAATAATTTACTTAATGAGAACTATTATTTTGTAAAAGTAACAGACAGAGATTGTTAGTAAGAAAAGAAATTAAAGTGAGAAAGTATTGTGTACATTTACATAAATATATAAATGGATATAAACATAGACACTGGGTGAATAGGACATAAACATGTGTTTATATTCGATTAGAGTATTAACAATAGTTAATTTTATTTCATCACATTAAAAAAAATAATAATAAAGATTTTAAAATAAACAAAACTATTCACTTTGATGAAATATGTATCACTCTAATTATAATGTGAATAAATGAAAGGAACAAGTGAAACCTAACAAGTTTAACTTGGTTTTAATTAAGAAAAAATCAATAATTCGTTTTTACTGGTATAGGGGTTGTGGAGATTATTAAGTTTTTGATTGAGATCATGTACCGATTGATGTTAGACCATCACAATTGAAAACCTGGAAGCACTGGACGGCCGTTTCGTCCTATTGTGGGACTCCTCAGCAGTGCGCATCCACGACCCCGCGAGCGGTATTCGGACCCAGGGCCTTCGGTCTCGCGCGCGAACGCTTAACCAACTGGACCACTGAGCCGGCATCCAATGGTGATAGTTTCTAACATCAATTCGTTTTTAGTTGACCAGTTAGCAGGAAATTACTAATACTGTAGATTGTTGTTTTTCAGTTTCGAATTAGTTCAACTTATAAACTGGGTCCGAATACTGCTCTATCTACATAGATAGATAGTATTACTTTATCGTACATAAAAAATGTGACTGTTTCTTCGAAATGGTTTTTGAATTGTACATCACAATAAATTCCGAGTCACTTACTGTCTATTCAATATCGTGAAAGTTATAACATAGCATGTTTATGGATAATTCATTTGTGATGTAGTAGGGTTAATTCTACAGATAACATTTCTTGCAAGAAACTGTTTCGCTAATCTTAATATTAAGTGGGATACTGAAGTGTTGGAGTTGCTGTGACCTCTGAGCTGGATGAACTGGCTATGAAGCTTCCATTGTTCTTATGAGCTATAAATATACTTTATCATCTTACAAAGGGATACTGAAATCTTAAAATTTATATTGACTATAGTCATTAGGAATCTTTTAAGGTGTTTTCCCATTTTTAATCGTCGAGTCAATCCTATCCTATTGAAACATAAAATTGAAATTACGTAGTATGCCAAATAAAGTTAATGTGCTTCTATTACATCTGAGCATATTCAGAAAAATTCACTGGAATAGTGAAATACTAGTTAGCCACAAATTCTGTTGAAAGTCGATTGATCCGAAGACATTTTTAAAATACTGTGATTAGTGTTATATACAAGAACATCGATTCTCTAGTGAGAGGTTATGAACTGTGAGATGCATCAGAATTATATTATCCTTAAAATATTGGCAATGCTGAAAATAGGTAGCAACTGAGCTTTCGAAAAATAAACTGCAAATGATGTAAGGCAGTATCTCGTTTATTTGTGACACAGTTAAACATCTATCTGTAAGAGAAAATTTGGAAGATGAGTATGAAGTATTTGAGATATACTTCATTAATAAATGAGTACTGAAAAATGCAATATTGTCTAGACCTCCGATGCTACTGTTATATTCACACATTACCCAGATCTTAAAGTACGGTGATACTTACTATTAGTTTTGTTATATCCTAGTGAAGATTAGATTATGGGTAACTTCTGAGAACTATTAATGGACTAATATTATATATATATTCTTATTGTATAACTATTTAGTAATCAGATTATGTATGAATATATTCCTCTTATTATAGGTTTCATTTTGACTTATAGATTATTATACAATTTACTATTTTTAAATTATACTCAGTTTATTAGTCATAGTCTCTCACGTTCACAGCCACCTTCTGGCTTGACCTTGTATAAATGTTACTTCCTATTTTATGGTGTGATGAGGTCTGTTTGGCTGGTATATAAACAAAGTATGTTTGAAATAAACTATTCATATAGTGGAAGCTGTTATTGATGTTCTGAACTCAACCGGAAGGGCTAGGTGAACGAAGGATCAATGAAGACGCTCGGCTGTTTATACCGGTCGGGCGTCATTGGTTTGGCACAGTCCTAAGATTGAATAAGTCGTATTTCGACTGGCGAATAAATCACGTGATAATTAGCCAGGCTGAAGGTCACAATAAGTTTCCTATTAATTTAGCTTGAACAGTATATGTAAAGACGAAAATATGAAGAATTCATCATATCCTGAAAACATGCTTTTTCTTGTCGCACTTAATTTCACAAAGGGAACAAAGTACACAAAACTTAAACCTGATGTGTGTGAAGGCTGATGATAATCTAACTGAAGTGGGTAGCTAAACTGTAATCCAGTGACAGAAATTCAAGTGCTTTAACTATCAAGTCAAACGCTACGGTAAAATACGCATATTTCGTATAACCATTATATATATATATATATATATATATATATATATATATATAAACGTTGTTAAACTAGTATATATTCAAACAAATGTATATTAATGCATAAATTAACTATGTTAAATTGTCTATCTTAGTATTGATAATGCAGTTATCTAACTGTTTAACTAAACATTATGAACAAATCCATGCAACTAATTTCACTAATAATAACCAGATAAATCGATTAACGAATAAACTAAAACGGAAATAATAATCCAAATTAAAAAAAATCACCAACTAACTGTGTAAACGTTTTAATGTATGCTGATAAACTAATGAAGTTTTAAGATTTTTTTGGTGCAATTATTTGTAAAGACTGAGTTGGATAATATTAATAATGATAATATTTTGAATTATTGTAATTATATTAGAACTAGTGTTATTAGTTTACTTACACTAATTAAGAATTCATCCTACACACGATGAAAATGGTGGAAAAACAAGAGGCTGTTGACTGTTTAGAAATGTAGAATACCACTAACTAGTGATGTAATAAACTGGGATATCAAACAGATAGAACGTTTAGATCAACAAATCGAAAGTAGAACGAAAAAATTTAGTCACTTCAAGTAGTCTGTATCATTAAACGAATTTAACGAAAGATGTATTTTTTTAAAAGCACTCTTATCCCAATGTTAATGTTTAGGTGTTTGCTGTAATACTACATACCATTTCCTGTATTTGATACACTTTTGTATTCGTTTTTCATTTTAAAATGATACTACTGTTTACTACTTACACTTATTAGCTTATAATTTCAATCGAGATCATCTTATGTGAAAAGTAATCATCCACATTTTTAAAAAAATCAACTTTTACTGAATTACTTTTTGTCTAGTATAAGCTAAGTTGATCGTTTTTGATTTATTCTATTAACATAAGAAAAATTTATTTAGTTGATGTGGATCAAAATCATGAGACGTAAACTAAGTAAATATTATTCTTTTCCTAAAAAACCCTACTTATTAAGTTTGATAAAATGATGAAGTTTCAGTGGTTGGTGAGCTATGAAACAGTTACCCACACATAGCATTCAATACTGACAGTGTTACAGATCACTAATTAGACGATGTTTTTAGAGTATAAAGTCAAGCGTTTAGTTCTATGTAGAAGGGTGAATACGCTCTGTTGAAGAGTTTAAAGTAACGAACGAAATAGGTGTGCAGTGCTTCTTGATTTTAGGTGGAGTTTTGTTCTCTGAGATGGATGGTTTGGTTGTGAAACTTTCGTTATTCTTCTGAACAACATCATCAGCACAAACTTCAAGTAAAAGTGGCGTTTGAATTTCTCCACATATGACTCACAGCTTTTTCTATAGACCTCGATCTTGATTTTTAATGATCTAGCTGATATCAGCCCGTAATGGAGAATGTTTTAAAAAATAATTCATTTCACTCTGTGGACAAGACATTAGTTCGTCTTGGTTAGTTTGTGTGATGGAACCAAGTGTGTGAAACAATATCAACACATAAAATATTCAAGGGCTTTTTAAAAAAAATCAAACACCAGTTGACAGATTGCAACAATCATTAAGTACTGCCAGTTTTTGAGAGTAGCAGAGTACCTAGTTAAAAGTTTTTATGGCATGATTTCCCAAAATTTATTTACCTATTCTTTTATTTTACAAGCAGTTATTTAACTTATTGTAGCCGAGTAGTATGGCTTAAAACAAGCGTGGTATTAACCTGTTTAGTCAAAACGAAATATATACTAGCTAATCTACGGAACCCATAAATTCAAAATGTTATTCTAACATATTTAATCATAGACAGGTGAAAAAAGAAAATTACTGTAGCTTCGTACAATGTGGAATGTGTTGCACGATATTGAAAAAGAGAAATATGCAAAGAATTCATTTAGTAAACAAAAAAATTAAAATATTCCCAGTAAACGGAGAAAAACGTTGTTCTAGATAATCATCAAAGCGCCAAGAACTGAAGTTTCAAATTAACTTTCTTAATGTTACGATAATTACTTATTTCCAGAGTTTATTATTTCTAGCTAGTATATTCACATATTTCGTGGTAGTTTCCAAAAAGATAACCTAAACAAAAGAACTTCCAGAAATCCAGACGAACTGAATAATTCTGTATGGTAAGGTTAGTCAAGGATGATACTGACTAACTTAGTTAAGTAATTGATGGTAAACTTGTATTAAAGACTATTTCATAAAAGTTATCTATGAATTGAAGACAAACGATTAAAAACTAGGATAATCAGTCAATGTTTTAACCTCTTTCCAAATTGAATAAGAATTGTGAGTTGACATAAATCAGATCAAATATAGCGAAAGCTTGAAATCGTTAGTTGGTAAATATTAAATAATGATAACATAAGACATTAGTTTTTTCGGGAAGATAGGTTCTTCGTGAAGAAATCAGCTGATTGAAACAGACTTTCGTTGATTTATTGAGTATAAAAGTCAAAGTATTTTGAGGACTCATTTCGAAAATTGAAAAATAGTGAGATCAATAATACCCACTGGCGTTCAACATTAGAAGTAGTGTAGCTAAGAAAGACGTTTAGAGATAAAATTAAATAATTCTTATCTGATTAGCGTTTGATTAATGACTGATTTGAGAATAAAAATACTATACTACTTAGAAATTTATATTTCAAAATCTTAAAAATAAGAAATAAATATAATAGACATTTGGAAAGTAAGTAAAAAGGAAAACTTACACACGGTTTAATTCCAGTTAATTTTAATTGTTTTTATTAATTTGTCTTAAACTTACACAATTAAAACGACTGTAATTGAAAAGCACATGTCTTATTTCATGTAGTAGGTAATCAATAGTTTATTGAAAAATAACAATATATGTATTCGTTTAAATGAAGATTATTCAATTTCAGAATACATTCATCCTATTGAAATAAGCTTTCATCGTTCAACTCATTTGAAACTTATCTCAATTGTACGAAATATGATACAAAACAGTGTACAGAAAATAACAGGATATGAATCCAGGTTAGCATACAGTACAAGAAGTAAAAACCGAGTAAGTACATACAATACATTAAGTGACCAGTAAGTGGTATCCACTGCCACGTTTATCCAGTCTTTGATGCTGATTGAATCCTATCGATCGAATCGCAATATGGCTACCAGTCTAACAGACTGAACATTGTATACACTGTTTTTAGATGTTATGTAATTGGGAGTAGTCAAAATGAAATTCTGTATAGGTTTCGTCTAAGTCGGAAGTTACCAGCAAGGTGTATCTGTAATCTAGAATTTGTCTAATCTTAAGTGTTGATCTAAATTACCAGAGAGACCATCAGTTCAAGTCCCGGTACACCTTGAGCAACCAAACATCAAAAGGTCGATATAATACAAGTAGCCATAATAAGAAACTAGAGAAATCCAGAGGCGCAGAACAAGAAATGCAACAAATAAATTTAAAACGCTAATAAGTCCAGATAAAATAACGAGTGAATACACCTTTTAAACTATTAAGTAAAACAGAAAACTTATCTACAACTTTACAGGGCTCAAAGTAAATTTGGATAGTGCTGCAGATTAAATTTGCTGTTGTTCCTCTGAGAAACTAACTGGTCACATATTATGACATACTGCCGAAAGGTGTGATGAGGTATGTATAAAAACCGCTGCAGTAATCTTAGTTAGTTCAAGTTTATAATCCGATCGAATAGTATGGTGTCATTGTTTAAAACCAAAATAAATTGCACAATAGTTTCAACATACTCGACTAATACTCAGAATCGGAGATCATTTATACATCTAGATATTAGTATGATGCGTTGACAACAGACAGCTCAAAAGTTACTTTGATATAATATAGATATTAATTAAAACTAATTATTATGATGAATGTTAGTCAAATTCTCTTTTTATAAAATAAATAAACTTACTCATAGCGGTTTGTAATTTATCAACAAATACAGTGCGTTCTTCTCCGGAAGGAATTTGATCAGTGTTGTTAATATCTGATGGGTAGGTAGTTTTATCATTATTTATAGTAGTTGATGATTTAGTAAGAAGTTTACCGAATGAAGTTTTTAAATCTTGGGTTGATGGTTGAGGAGTAATAACTGAAATGTCATCAGCTGTAGGTGTATTACATGAGGTTTTAGAAATGAGCGACTCAGAAGTTATACCGATTGTCGACCGACTTTGAGTAGATGACGATGGTGATGAAGAGGCGGCAGCAGCGGAAGCAGTTGGTTTCAACATACGCTGTCGATCAATACTTTGTGTAGTCACACTATTTTCCTGAATGTAAGCTGACCAACTGATAATGTTTTGATAGATAAAGCACAAAAACATATGGCACATATAAATATTTTTATTAGGAAAGACAACTTCAAAACTTTCTCACTAACAGAATTAGTAATAATACATGAACAAGAAAAACTAGATGTTAATAAACACGTTAGATTTTAAGTGTAATGGAATCCAGGACAATGATTTTGTCCTACTAGGGACTCCATCAGTTTGGCGCACGTGAATCCCACTTTTGGTTTTTGTCGGAATAGAGAAAGTATTAAACAGTTTTCGCAGATTTATTCAGAAAAACGTTTACGATCGGCATTCGGTACATCTTGGTACTCTTGAAATAGAAAAAAATATTAGTAAAATGTTGTGGAAAATAGTATTCCTATGAAAACGCGAACACAAACTACTTAGTGCTACCATCAGTCACTGATAATACGATGACTGAACTATTCTCAACTAGACTTTTACCAAATCTGATATCGCGTTACCCTGTAGTGATCAATTGATAAAATAGTGGTAATGATAGCCGGTAACTTTAATAAATTCGAAGTAGTATATTCGTCCACAAATTTTACACAAAACAATAATGATCAAGCTATTCAGTTTAGAATTTTAGAATATCTACAAAAACTTCTCTAAATATTATTCAGTATGCATAGACAGTAAACAAATTGATATCAATAAATAAGAGATGGGTATTAAAGATGTTCCAAATTTTATCATTTGCAAGTATCGATTGAACTAAAGTAAAACAAAAGTAACAACATAAAAAGCAAAAACGAACTTTTGTCTTTCATCTTCTTTTGAAAACAATAACCGGATCAAAACTGTTTGCTTCATAAAGACGATATTTAATAGATGATCACCACCTATATGTTTGTATGCAGTGAGAAAAAAAGAATAAATTAATCCCTTTTATATTTAATAATGAGTAGTATAAAACACCAGACAGGTGAACTATGTACATTATAAAATTTCAAGTGAAATATTAACTATTTCAGGACTTTATATAATTAGAGTCTGTGAGAGTTAAGCAATGATAGATAATAATTAGTGAAGTGGGATGTATTTCTAAAGACTTGAAAATATATTACCATGTTGTAATCAATTACAATACATATATATATATATATATATATATATAGAGAGAGAGAGAGAGAGAGAGATGTACTGGTGTTTACTAACCACTGCGAATCCGTGACAAAATTGAAATACACTAGTTAACCAGTTAGAGAATGACTTAAAATTTAAAACAATTATCAGTTGTAATTTAGAGAATCGCCATTATTATTATTATTATTATTATTATTATTATTATTATTATTATTATTATTATTATTATTATTATCTAATGTCCATAAGTCACTTTTTAATTAATCTATTCAGGTTTTTTTTTCAATCACCAAAATCACATTGGAAGCAAGCTAACGTTTTCGTTATTTAGAAGGCACTCAAAGGGTTTGACGTATTTTTGTTAACTGATAGAAATCTATTTATTTAAAAACAACTAAAAACTTCTGAAAATATTTCTTTTAAATGTCCATTTCGAAATGACTTAATCATATTTAGTTTGGTTAGGAGATACTCACGGTATTTTTACACGGACAGCTTATTATTCACATACTGAAAAGTAAACACTGAGTAGTTGTTTTCCTTACTACTATGATAACTACTACTAGTAATATTGATGATGATAATAATAGTAATAATAACAATAATAATAATAATAAAATTGTTTCTAAGCTACTTATTTCTAAAATAAAAAAAGGGTTAAAACTATTTGGTTGGTGCCTAAATAATAATATTATGGAAGCGTATACCCTAGTCCTGTAAAATAAAAAATTCACTGAAATCCACTGTCTAGAAGTTGAACATTTTAAGGTCAGTAGTGAATTTAAAATAAAATTAGGGAAGTAGTATTTTCAGTTCTAAATATATGTTACATGAGTATCTATTGAACAAATGTGACTTTAATGTTTATTACAATTGTTTTCATAATGAGAATAACAATGTTATTTTGAAAGTGACTTTTAGTGTTCAGCTTTACGAATCGTCTTAAACTGTTCTATATGAGGTAAACAATATCAATCCAATTCACAAGCAAACAAACACTAAATAATCAGTTAATAAACAAAGAAGAAATTTAAGAAAACTAAAAACATACACAAATGAACTAAATCAATTGAGAAACTAACCAAATTTTTCACCACACGAAGTAAACACATCTATCAATGGGAATATAGGAACAAGTTTCGAGCTTCCCAACGATGTTGACGAACGATCAGTCATACTGGCGACTGCAGCACTAGCTGCTGCTGAAACAAGGCTTGTATGTGATTGAGCATTTGAATTAGGAGAATAAGAACTAAGAGAACTGCATGAAGAGATAGAAGAATAACCGGATAGATTGCCTGAGTTGGGTCGATCTTTATCACCAGGTGTACCAGGCGATCCGAAACTGGAAAGACGTTCAACAGCACTACTATTAGAAGCAGAAGTATTGAAGTTCCCGCTACTACCAGAGCCACCGCCTTGTTCACGTACAGCTTTAAAGCTACGTAAAATGTAACGTTCACCATCCTTCACCATTAACATAAGTGCATTGTGTAAGAGAATAGCCAACATTTCAGTTCGTTCACAAATATAATCATGATTTACTTTATTTGATCGATTCGCTGTTAATTTATCAACTGTTACTTCGGCATGTGCAACAACCCAATGATGAAATAATACACGAGGAAAGTTTAAAAGTAATTGCTATAAAGTAATGTAATGAAGAGAGAAAATTTAATATAAAGCTAAATTAGGAAACAAATAAGAACAAGTTTTGTTAATGAAACACAATTTAAAACATTTAATTGATTGATAATTGTAATATGATTTTAACTAATAACATTCAATTTTACTAGTGAAATACTATTTGTACGATGATATGACACAAATAACAGGAACTAGTAAACTTTTTCTTCAACTCATTAACATTTTGTACATTATGATAAATCACTGAGATTTGAAACGATATTTATTAACGAATCTGGTTAGTTCCAGGTTGATTTGTAAAACTTTGAACGTTTACTTTTAAGCATGACGGCTTTTATGTGCACTAAATGGTTTTTTAAAACACGTTTTTTTATAATCCTACAAGAGCGAAAGGGAGACATTGTTACTAATCTCTGTTGCACATTTTCAATATTTCGATGATGCTTTTACAGAATCATATTTATTCAATAGAAAGATTTTTGTTGTGATTTTAGTGTCCCGGTTATTCAGTAATTATAGATCCAATAGGAGTTATTCTCAAGTAAAGAGGATACGTTCTTTCAAAGTGATGAACCACTGTACAAATTTAGTTAGCCGATTAATAATATGAAATCGAAAAAAGTTATCTTCTGTTTCTATCTATTTTTATCTAGATCCGAAGCAATAAAACCATAATTATGAACTAGGATTAATAATAATTCAATCTTTAAACTGTATCGTTCCATTATAATTTAAATGTTAACTAATGTAATGGTAAGAAGTTGAATATAGTTTTGCGATAGTTTAACCGTAACGTACAATGTTTAACGAAACATTGATCTACAAAAACTCATAGTGTTTATTCCCTTTCAACAACCTATGATATCACTAAATTTAAAGAATACAAATAGTTGAGTTAATGGAAAATAAACATCATTTCCAGTAAGAATAAGGAAAAAAGTTGAATATTCACCTGAAATGGTAATAATAAATCCGGAAGTGGTTTAGACAAAATATCTTTTTTATCCAAACTAGTACATAATTGACCAAGATTAATTCGTTTAACAAGAGGCATACAAACATTATCGATAGTTTGTGGTAAACTGGCCAATTTAAGTTGAATTTGTTGCCAAATTTTAGCTTCACCTGGAAAAAAACGTTTTTTTTATAAAAAAAACAATAGATTTAAATGGAGTGAAGTAAAATGAAGTACAAAATGTGACGAAAAGTATTTGTTAGGACACAGACCAAACAAAGTACATTAGGACTAGAATAATACATAAAAGGTCTAAAAAAGATTCAGTCTGGAAATTGGTAATTGATTTTATATGTTGCGTAATATCGGCTGAAGCAGCTATTTTAAAGCGAATTACTGGTTGAAGAAATTTTCTTTCAATCATTAGGTTAGATGGTTGAACCACGCTTAATTCGCCATAGACTGTATAGTACACGGATTATCACTATCCATCACAATAATAGTGCAAATTAAAGCTGAGTACATGAGATTTGTACTTGGTAATTGAATTATTTTATTACAATGTTATAAATGATGGTCCCCAAACGCTCTGGTACTGTCAAAGGTGGCGAGAATCAGAGCTCCAACTCTAAATGCTCTCACATGATCATTCATATACAACAACTGTCAAGGAAGTCCTAATCACTGCCTTCCCGTGGTGGGGGTGCAGTTTACGAAATTCGAAGGACGAAAAGCGAATGTTCGGCGTTTTAACAAGGTTGGTGGATATGGAGGATCCATCTAAGGGAGTTGGAAAACTCTGATTCCAAATCAATGGTGCACATGGGCTCCAGGATACTGAGGGAGAAAATGGCGTATGAATCCAATGTTGATCACCAGCTACCGTGGGACTACATCTCCCAACGTTGCTCAACTGCCCTCTGGATTAGACCTCTAGGTCAAAGGCTCGATGAGTAACCCTCTAAAAAAACTTTGCTTCAATTTGGGTGCTCGGGCAACATTCCAGCCCTCACACAAATCGAATGATGAGCTGTAGCGCACATATATTTAGTGCTTATATATTAGAATGAAAAATAAATGTTGAGATTTGTTTAGCGAATATTTCACAAAGCCAAATACAGTAATTTATGTCGAAAACAGCAAAACTATAAACACATACTAGCAAGATAGATCATTTGGTTACAATCGTCATAATGTAAAAATACAATAATTTACCAGATATAAAATGTAAGAACAACTTCATCATCAGCAGTTAATTCATTTAACCACATGAAACTAGCACAGACATAACAACAGAAAATCTAATAGTAAAAAATAATGTCAATTACCTTTGTATATTTTAGTTCTTTTTTCCAAATCTTTTGCAATATTATTTGCAATTAATGGTAAATTAAAGTAAAGAATTCGCATTTGTTTTAAACCTTCAATTAAGACAAATTTATTGTGCCTAGTTTGTAATAGAGGTACAATATCTGGATGTCGGCGTACATAATCACGAACAAAATGTCGAACACTTTCTAACATATTTGAACATGAGAGGGCTTGACAATAACGAGCCCATGTCTGTGAAGATGAAAAGTATGAAAACTTTTACATTACAAACAATAACATGAATAAAAATAATAATAATAATCACGTTATTTAGTACCATAACTTTTGATACAGTAGGGAATTCCGAGTACAAAATATCAAATACTGTGGCGAATTCTCTTGAACCTATAAATTATTTGTAACGATTTAGAAAAATACTATTGAATATTGTTTTAAGAAGGGTGATTAGCGGTAATGGATTCTGAAGAAATTCAAGTCATTTATGATTAACATCATGCACTGATCTTAGACAATCAATGAAGACCAGGAAGCACTGAACAACTGTTTCATCCTAGCAAAAGACTTCTCAACAGTGTACATCCACGATTCTACCGGGGATTAAACCTAGGATCCTCGTTCACATGGTGAGTCCGTAATCTCTAATCAGCCGGAACCTATTGATTTATATGTTTAAATTCAATCAATTGGCAGTAATGAGAAATTGTCTTTCAATGCCATCAATGGGTAACTGCTTTACGCAAGTTACAACTCACTATAACTCCAAGAATTACTTTTCCAAATTAACCTCTTTGTGAGCACATGCTAATTATCAATATAAAAGGTTTGTTAAGATTGTTATATCCTTGATGGAATCATAATTGGGCACTGCTGACGAAACGATACAACGGTCCAGTGAATCCTGGTTTTAATCACTTGTTTGACGAAACTATAATTCATGGACGAGATAATCAGAAGCGAGTGAGTGATTTCAAGGTCATGGTGCCCATCTCAATGCCCAATGCTCACTTGCTATCGGTTTACAGAGAATTTCAAGGAAAACGTAATAGTTGAGAAACTACAACAGATTGGACTACCGAGAACTTCCTTCAATAGAGATTGTGATCTTCGAATGACTTCTGGACAGTGTGTAGGCTATTCTTACGACGTTGCATTTCGATGTAATATATGTTGTAGGAAAACGTCTAGGAGAACGGAGACTTTTTCCGCTCGACCCCGATTGACACTAAGACAGATTGTGATAATTGTTGTAAACTAGATAATAAAAGCACCATTAACACTGGCTACAACCTTTGCAGATGTTACTGAGGCTTCAGCAGTTCAGTGGCATGAGTACAAAACCTTTTTCTAACATTGGAAAGTTTTTAAACCATGTTAAAGTGTATCCACTCTAATTTTTTAGTTTTGTATAATATATTCTTACTCCATACCGACTTTTTTCTGATTGGCTGAAATCCCTCAAGGTCACTTAAGATTCGTTCAAAGGTCATTCATAAATTACGGTCATGCCATTACTTAGTAAGGGATTCAGTGAATATCATCGATACAAAATTTAAATACGAAATTAATTTATTCTTCACTTACAGTACTCAGATTTCAAAATCACGCTTTTTTTCCGATAAAATATGTCACATTTACATTGAACTAACTAAACTAGTTTAGAGAGAAGATAACCTTTGTAGTAGAGTAATATATAAATATATATGGCGAGAGAGAAAGGGATCAAGCCTGGGATCTACAGTGATCGAAAAAAATGGGTGCAAAAATCACTTAATGTTCTATAGTTATTTCATTTTATTTCTGCTCGAAGAAAAAAGTGGAAATGAGTGAACAGTTGTATAAACTATCAAACATATTCAAGCAACGTGCAGACCACTGGTACATTGTAAATAAGTATTTTCAATGATTTTTTAAAGTAGATAATTACAGTAATATTTTTTAAAAATTTAAAACGTTTATTTACTTTTAAATTAGCCGATGAATTATCAGTTAACCAGGCTAGAACAGCTTCAGCCATACCACGATAACCTTGTTCGGTTTTTGTTTGATCAATACAAGTAACGAGACTGCGAAAAAGATCAATTAATACAGGAATTTGATCAAGGCATAAAATTTTAGCCAATTTTGCATGTTCCACAGGCCAACGACGTAATAATAAATACTCGTATTGTTTCAAATGGCGAACCATATATTGAGTTTTTTGATGAAATTCCAATAGAACTAGTGTACGAATATACTCTTCACTTTTTTGACCCTTTTTGTTAAAAAAAGAGATCATATTAAAAGAAATGAAAAAGAATATGAAAAAAAACGCGAACAGTCTCTTCGTTCCTCTTGCCAACTTATCATACATAATAAATATTCATATATAACTAATTGAAACAGTTGTTTTTATTTATACATAACTGCGTTATACAATCTAAGCTGATGATAACAAGTAAAGATGATGGTTAGTGTATATCGAAAAAAATTGAAAATGTCACAAACATTTTAAATTTGTTGCATAATTCTACTATTTCATCTAGATATATTAAATGAAATAAATTTATGTGACATTTTGAGAGTTTCATTTATTTGGATAATTTATGAATGGTGATGAACGGATAACAAATCATGTTAAAGAATGCGACTAGACTAGACATACGTACGTATTATGGACCAAAAATAAAAACAAAAAGGAATAAATAAAATAATTTTGAGAGGAATGATGTGTAGGAGACAAATGATAATATTTATAATATGGTTAATTGCTTGCATCTAGTGGTACTGCTAATACAATATCTCGAATTGGAAAAATGTTGTCTTATCGTACTAATGTTATGGTAGTAAATTCAGAAGATGTATATATCTGTCAGGTTTTACATTGTATATCACTAACTAATAACTACACACTACACACTACAGTATGGAAAACCAAGTATAGTTGACATCTGTCCTATATACAGTGATTAGTATTCACTTCATGGCATATTCTTGAAATGTAAGCTAACTTGCAAAAGCCAATCTCCTCTCTTATCATAACAACACGAGGTTCTTTTTAGTGTGTTAGTTGTTTGATCTACCAAGTCAAGTAAGATCTCTATTTATAAAATTAGTACCTTTTTGGTCGTTTTCTGACTCTAAATACAGTCCAAAACGTTGTGGGAAATATATTCTAACGGTATCTAGTTTGAATCTTTGAACTATCTTCAGTTATTTCTTCATATTTGTAAAATATATAAGGCAAATGATGACGGTCCAACCTACCAAGTAAAGATTAATGCACTCGGCTGAATCACATTATATGTGTGAGGGCTTGTGCTACTATGCAGCTGTCAAAGATGAAGCAGGTGTAGTGGAACTGAAACCTGCGGACTACTCAGCTCCTCGAGTGGTTAAAAAAACGAAGGATACTTGTAACCGCCTAGCGTATTTATAAATAAAAAATTATAGAAACGTAAATCTAAAATATCCCTGCACTTAATTTCAACTCATTGTACAGAGAATACTGAATTAAAGTCAAGACATTGAACATTGAAAAAGTGTTTATACATACTTTACTAGGCATTTGAAAATTAGGAAACTGAGCTCGTAGTTCAACTGCTGCTTCAAAACTTGCTCCTGCAATCATTTCTGGATCATCACTCCAATCTGTAGTAACTAATTCACGTACAGTCTCATTGATATTTGAAACAGGACTACTTAACGATGATGAAGATGGTGATGATGTTGTTTCGACTGGACGATCACAAGGACCTGTTGAGCTACTTGATGTAGGTAGATTTGAGGAAATATTCGAAACGACACTATCACTAAAACATAAAACAAAATCGAGGATTTGAAACAAGTTGATAACTCAATGAAGATAAAACAGTCTTCAAAATACAAACAACGTGAAATGATAAAAAAGCATCCGCCAGTACTAACGCCATCGATTTTTAAAAGTGAACTACTGAGCAAGTGTATTACGGCACTAGTATTCTTAAGACAGAATACCAACAATAGTAAATATAAAAGATGTAATCTGTAAAATACAGCTGTAAATAAGTCTTTTCAATATTCCTAGGCACAAAAAAAATTAGATGTAGGCTTGTGCCTTATTGTATACCATTTTCTCAAAAAGAATGCCTGTATCAACAGTAAGATAAGTATTTTTATGGTGAAACAACATTTACATTAAAAGGAAACAATAACATAAGTAACTTCAACTGAACAATATAAAGATTTTGATGGCTAAATTATTTAGGTAAGTATTAATTGAGACAAAGACTTCAGTAATATAGTAGTCATAATCACTAACAACAATGACAACATGTAACTTGACATAATTCATATAATATTATCGAGAGAGCTAATACGTCATCATATATATTATTTCAACAATTAGTACTGTTTACAGAACTTTGCCAATTCAAATACATTAGTCGCACCAATGAATCAATATACAGGTTATTTTATTGAATTGATCCATTATAGATCGAAATTGATCCCAGGATTATATATTTGGCTGTCTACCGATTTGCAACGCTAGGTATTACGGTATTTAAAATTGAAGATAATTTCCTTCACATCTATATTGGTCTTGGGAAACAAAAAGTCGAAGTATCATTTTTCGTTCATAAGATAGATTTATTATAATGAGACTGTCAGTTGAGGAGTTGAATAAAAGTTGGACTACTCAACTTTAAACAAGAGGATTGTACGCTTGATACATGTTGAACTCTGATTAGGGCAACCAACTTGTATGAATAACTTTCTTTGTCTATAGCACACACACACATAAAATGTAGATCGAAGCAGTATACTTAAACATCGTTTTGGTAAGCCTACTTGTTGGTTAGAAATTCATAATTTTACCCATCTAATTAAACACAACAGAGTCAAGTGGATTTCAGATTTTGATTCATTAATTGAGAGTTAAATAATTAAACAATCAAAATCATACCTTTCTAAAAAAAAATAAACACATTAATCACATGTAATTAAATGATAGAATGAATAAGAGAAAGTTATTATTGATCTATAAATTAGTAAAAAAGCACACCTTCGAGACGTTGGAATTATTTCTTGAATGATTTCACTTCCTTCGTATAGATTTTTCATTTGTTTTACATAACCTTCATTTGTTTAAAAAAGAAAAAAAATTACGGAAAAGAAGAAATAAATATCGAATAGATGAACATAAAACCAAAGGATGAAACAAATCAGACAATAAAGGAATGTATGATAATCAAATAAATAAAAGACAATTTTGTGAGTCATCCAGAAATGTATATGAATGGAATGTGAAACGCAAAAATTGATTTGACGTATATATAATATAAATATATACAGATAAAACATATATTTATTATATTGTAAAATACCAAACAAAGGCAATTAGTATGGACAACCAAAATCATATCAATGATAAACCAAAGATGTATGAATTAGAGCTGAAGAGAGAAAATCTTTGAAAAAATTTCCCATCCCAATGTTCGATTAAGTTTTCTGTTGCAAAAAATGTTTTCAAACAAACTAGTACTGAAGATTGACAAAATGAAAAACCTATTTCAGAGTTAGATTAATAGATAATAAAAAGAAGCCACCCAATACATAAATGATTCAGTTAATAATGATATTGAAGAATTACGCATTGATATATTGTTAAAATGTGCAATTTTACTTAAGCAAATAGGAAATATATACACCCATGACCTTACTGTGTCCTTCAAAAACTAACTTAATAATTACTAACAAGTAGTTTAACCTCATGAAAATAATTACATTGAGATTATCCCATTTTTAAATTGGTTGTTTGAAACTTCTCATTGATGTCTAGGACTGCAATCAATCAGTTTCCTATTGATAAATGTGTATTCTGTGCGGATTGCTTCAAGTCACTAGAATGATACACGATAACGATGGCTAGCAGGGGAATTCAGGTTCCATTCCCGGAGTGAAGATTAACTCTGGGATGCAGGTACATACAGCTGATGAGTCTCGAATGGGATGAAACGCGTGTCCTGTATTCTACTACTAGCCACCATTATAGCTTATATTGAGATTATCGTTAGGATTTGCCTTAAATAATTAATACGATCATCTGAATATTGACACGTTCTGTAACAAATAGCAATTTTAATATTAATATTTCGTGAAAATTTCATCCCAGATTATAAATAAATAACTACTGAGAGTTATGAGATGGTGGAGAGTTACACATAATTAAAAATAAATAGACTTTATTGTACGCTTTTTACAATGGGATTACCGATAAATTTATATAAACGTTGTTAATTAACTGAAAGTTTAAACAAAAGGATTATAAACGGTTCATTTATTGATTCTTCGAAACTATAGAAAAATAAGTTGTTAATTTTTGAAAAAGATAAGTCAAACAATGACAGTAAAGAAAAATAATATTTATTTATGAAGGAAAGATTAATATTTTATCAGTTACGTTGTATTAATATATAAGAAGTATAAATGGACACAATATTTGTAATGAAATTAACTGGATTCACTTCTATCATTTGCTAAGACATGTTTCAAAAGTCAACCATAGTTGAATTAAATCACAATGAATATTTAGAGATGAAAACAGTTTGGTAAAGAATAGAAAGTATGAAAGATGAATACATAAATGACATTAGTTTCAACTGCCTGATTATTCAGGTTTAAACATAGGGAGAGTAACACAAATTCTTTTATTAAATGATAAGAGTTTTATATGAGAATTTAAATGTTATGTAACTACTCATTTACCAAGTACAAGTTCATGTCTCTAACTTTCAGATACAATGTGTCTACAGGAAGGTTATCGATAATACAAATATAACCATTACTGGAAAAGTCTTTAGTTGAAATGAGAATAAGTTTCCTAAAATATTAAACAAACAAACAAGCAAACGAACAAAATCGCATGATTAAAAATTAGTTCTGCATATTTTGTATGTAACTGCACATCGAAGCTATTAACATGATTATAGACATTTGTAAAATTGATGTTTAGAAAACACTTGATGGTTATTATTAGTAAATAAAATGAAATTTACGAATCAATTGGTAGAAACAGATCAGTATAAAGATGAACGGAAATTTGTACAATAAGAAAAGCAGTATATAAACTTCCACAAAACAGCCACTTTGTTTACAACGCTGTACTTGTCGTTACTGTTTCTATCATCATCGTCGTACGTCTTGTCAGTCGGAAAAGTGTTAGTGTGTATGTGTGCAATTATGTCTTTCTTTTGCACACAAAACAATCACAGATTGACCAAGATCATTGTTTCAGTTACGATTGACATTGTAAGACATAAAACAGATTTATAAGTGTAGTAATGAACAAATTCCTTTTTATCCTATACTATAATTCTGTTGATTAACATGGTATTTCAGACAAATTTTCTTTGACAGTAATTTTCCGAAATGGTTGATTTCAATTATAACCTTATCAATAATATTTTGTCAATTACAGATGATGAAATTAATTATAATTATGAAGTATGATAATGGATAGTGTGAAAAGTATAAGATATTCTTAATAAAAATAATGAATCATAATTCAAATAGTAAATAGTTCCTCTTGTAAATATATCTCTCAAAATGAGCACATATTCTTGAGTTTTTCTACTTTTAATAAAGTTATTTCGCTATTCTCACAACATATTTCAACCGTAGGTATATAAATTGAAACACATAAGAAAAAAGATGATAAGCAAATAAAAAAATATAGTGATAATTGACAAGTCTTGTTAATTTGAATGCTTTATTGGGTTCCCAAGCTATACTGGTAACCCGCAAGCTAGAACTATGCAGCGACCTGAACTCGAAAGAAAAGGCGCAAAATAAGCGAAAAGCACTTTACTCCAAAGGTTCATTTTTGTACAGAAAAACACGGGTATTTATAGATGTTAACATTTCTTAAATCAACATCATATTTTTGGACAATCCGCTAAACGAAATATTATGCTACTGACCCATAGTAGCACTCCACGTTGACATTCTAGAAAGCTCCATCATGCTCTAATTGGCTAGGACTCTTCGGCTCCTTTAGGGCCTCTTGAGGCTTTGTTGCAGTTCTCGGAAAGCCGACTCAACACCTCCCCCGAATAAGATTTCTTTCTAGGATCTACTTGTAGTTGACAACTGGGTTGCGGCGGCGTTCCATTATTCTTGTTGTCTTCCTTGTCTGAGGATTCTTTTCGGTGTCCTAGGGCATATGTAGCATTGGTGTATCTAAGATTAACTCTAGCGGAAACTCCTGCCGGTTATTTCGAGTCTGCATCGTTCTTTTGTCCTTATGGATTTGTCGTACACATGTTTTGATTGGCTAGGACTCTTCAGCTCCGTTGCAGTTCTCGGAAAGCCGACTCAACAATAATGAATACGTTTTTGTTGTTATAACCTGATGAGTAGTTAAATTGTATTTTTCTGACGTTTCGTGACTTAATGTAAGCCACCTCTTCAAAGTAAATAAATAGCCGAATTAAATTAACACATGTTTAAATCGTATAAAGTAAATAAGACCACAAAAAAATATATTTATTATTAGCTTACTACATAATGCTTAATTTATTTGAAACTATCAAATTCAACGTTGGCATTGATACCTACAAATACATGATAACTTGTCAAAATTTAAATGATCAACATCTGTACTATGGAGATGATATGTTCTTTGTATAACGTTGGGTCAACTATCGGCAACTTGTCTAATTATAACTGATGTATTAATTCAGTGTACAGTAATAATCAAAAACCTATATGCAATCTGATTCATTAAAATAAACAGCTCGAAAAAGGTGTAGCACTCCTTATCTCTAGCTAACAAACATGAAGAAATGAAATGGAGCGAAACTTAATTTAGTTCATAAAAGTTCAACATTTGAATAATTTGACGTAGAATGAATCAAAGTTACACTATAAACAAGACAAATAACAATCAATGAAATGAACACTGAAGAACGGAGAACAGAAGGAAGAATTCAATTAGGACAGTCATCAAAATAATAGCCCATTAATAATTTACTTTCTTATGATAACACATTGAAAATTTAAAACTTATAATAAGTCGATTAATTTCAATATCGTTTGAGGAGAAACAGAGGATAGATAAACTAAAAAAAATAACCTTGTTTGACTGTTATACTTAAGCGACGACGTGATGATGATCTCGAATCCAATGGAACTTTAATATCTTCAGATGAAAATAACACAGTAGAATGATTAAGTGCAATTTTTATTATTTGAAAAAATATTAAAAAACATCACAACAGCCGTTAAACACACAAAAAGAGAGGAAAATTGAGCACACAAATGTTAGATTTGTGAAAGTAAACAGGAATATGGCATGAAGTACACCGAATAAAAAATATAAATGATAAAAATAGAAGATAATGAATAATTATGATCAAAATAGCCAACGTTAAATGCAAAAAACAAACAGTTTATGTACGTATGCACAGATTGATGTGTGTTCGCGCGTACACCAAAAATATCATCAGCAATTCCACAAAAATGAATGATTATAAAGCCGTAATTATGTGATAATCATTTTATAATAAAGAATATAACACCACAAACGCAGCAGATAGTAGAGAAAAAATTAGCCAATAATAATGTGAGTGTGTACGAAAACCAGTTCACGAATACCATCGAAACGATATTTTTTGTAGATAGGTACAGAAAGTATACATGTATAAACACGTTTAAATGAAGGTGTGCCCATGTGCAGATTGAAAAGTAAAAAAAACAGTATAAACAAAAAATTAATTGACTTTATCACATCTCATAGAATAAATGAATATATATATATATATATTAAGGTTGTGTATTGGAAGTATATCATTGAAAGGATACTCTTTCAATGTTAAGTATAGACATGATCATCTCTGAATTAAAATGAAGAGAATTCAGCGAAGAAAATTTTCTTTTCGATGAAATCATTTACTCATGCTGTACATTTGTATTTATAGTTGTATGGTAAATATATGTTTATAATAAGCTTTTAAAAGGAGAATGCAAACAGTTACCAGTTCATAACGGGAGCATCTAAACAACTCTGGATACGTCACTTTGAAAGGAATTTCCTTTAACATAAACTACACAATCAAAGGAACTGGATCGAACGGAGATCGAATCAATGGTCCAGTAGGTTAAGCGTTCGCGCGCGAGACCGATAGGCCCTGGGTTCGAATCTCGCGAGCGGGATCGTGAATATACACTGTTGAGGAGTCCCACAATGGGATGAAACGGCCGTCCAGTGCTTCCAGGTTTCCAACGCTGGTCTAACATCAATCAGTTGCCCCCAAATGCCCTGGTACGGCCGAGAGTGCGGAGAGTCCGCTCTCCCTCTCCAAACTCTCTCACATGACCACGCGTATATAGCCTCTGCCAGGGAAGTCCTACTCACTGCCTTCTCGTGGCGGGGCTGTTGTTTACGAAAATGAGAGGACGAAAAGCGAATGTCCGGCGCTTTAACCGGATCCCAAACCAAATCAATGGTGCATATGGGCTCCAGTATCCTGCGGGAACAAATGGCGTATGAACCAATCGTTGGTCACCGGCTTCCATGGGACTGCATCTCCTAACGTTGCTCCACTACCTTTTGGACCAGACCTTAAGGTCGAAGGCTCGGGGTGTAGCCCCCTAAGAAAACCACCTGCTTCATTTGGGCACCCGGGTAGTATCACAGCCCTCACAGATATCGAATGAGATTTGTGTGGCGCATATGCATTTGGTGCCTCTTTGTGACAATATCTATGTGTTGAAATAAATAAATAGTAATAAACGAATCAAAAACTTATGCGCTGCGTTGACGATCAACCAATTTAAGCCCGAAATCTGCGTGCAAAAATGATACGTCCAACTTCCCATCCTAATTCCTTTCTGTAATGTGTTTTCGTCTTGTTTTTCCTTAAATTAGCATTTTGTAATTTTAAACCGTAATTAGTTATTATTACACTAACAATTTTCCATGATTATTATTCAGCTTTCATGTTTCTCATTTTGTCTTCATATCTGTCAAACGGACAATTATATTTCATAATTTTGATCCGTAAATTATTTTCATCCTTCTATTCTTCTTTAAACCTCTAATTATAACGTAACCTCATTTGATATTCAGAGCCTCGAATCACTTTATGATACAATCTTAACTATACTTTTACAAACATATATTTACCACACAATTGTAAATATGAATGTACAGCTTAAGTAAATGATTTTATTGAAAAGAAAATTTATTTCGCGGAATTCGATGCCACAATGGGTTATTTTAATTATATTAGCATCAATTCAGTATTGATTCACCCATAGAACGCTAATAATTTGAGAGATGGTTGAAAACAAATGTGTAAATGTATTTATTTTATTTTTTCACGAGAATGAATGTGCTCAATATTATAAAAAATACAGATTAATTTTTGTCAAACTTTTGTTCAGTGTTGGACCTGTCTTTGTTATTTTTCTCTAGGATTCAGGACCCTTGAAAAGTATACACAACTACGCATTATACTGTTTGTCATGCACTTAACTGGCTAGATGGATGTAGTCAAATGCTATCCATTGATTGGGCCCCCTGAAGCCGTGGTACAGCCGAGGGTGGGGAGATTTAGCTCTCCCTCTCGAAATGCTATCACATGGTCACGCGTATACAGCCACTACTACAAAAGTCCGCCTTCCTGCAGCGGAGGTGTGGTTTACGAAATTGAGAGGGTTAAAAGCGAATGTCCGGAGCTTTAACCGGAATGATGGATATGGAGAATCCATTTAAGGGAGTTGGAAAACCCTGATTCCAAACCGATGGTGCACATGGACTCCAGGATACTGAGGGAATAAACGGCGTATGTATCAATTATTGGTCACCGGATACCATGGGACTGCATCTCCTAACGTTGCTCCACTACCTTTTGGACCAGACCTTAAGGTCAGAGGCTTCTGGTGTGACCCCTAAGAAAATTATCTGATTCGATCTAGGCACCTGGGCAGTATCATAGCCCACAAACAAACCAAGTGACCTGTGTGGCGCATATGTATTCAGTGCCCCTTTGTATCAATATTTATGTGTTCAAATAAATAAATTGATTAGATACTACAAAGAATAATATTTCATGAGAAAAAACTGTTAGGGTTATTTTCCAAATTGCGAATTATTACCACTTATTTTAAAAACTGACTTTATCGTTCAGACTAAATAATCATTAATAAAAAAATGTATGAACAAATTATTATTCATTATGATTTCGTCTTTGTTTGAACTACTGTCATATCTCCCCCTTTAACAAATTGTTTTATAGTGTAAAACTTTTACACACACCAAAAATATAATAAAGAAACAAGGTAATTACCGAAGATGGATTGCTCAAAATCTTATTGAAGATACTTTTTATTACAAATCAGTGTCAGATAAAGAAACAGTGAGAAAGTGTATGGTGAAGTTATATATATACCATGTACCTTAAAAAGCTCACAAACTGAGTCAAGAAAATTTAAATAATTATTAGAACGAGTTCAAAATTACAGATCGTCATGCATAAACATTATATTAGTATAAAAAACTGGATTTTGTTATCCAACTCTATGAGGAACTACACTCAAATTTTAACCGAAACATAACCCAGAGAGAGAGAGAGAGAGGAGAAAAGGTGAAACAAATGACATACATAATTATTTAGTTGATAACTACTGACAAAGAAAAAGGTGGAAAACCATCAACTCTCGTAAAGTTTAGGAGATAGACAGAGCAAGATTCGGTACAAAGGCATTCAGTCCAAGTTGACAATCAAGGTGAAAAGCAAAAGAGTGGAAAATCATTAAGCTAAACGTAGTAGCCAACTAAAACAGAAGAATAGAAAGTTGTGATTAACGAATGAAACAGAGGAATTAAATGCACAGACTGGTTAAATATTTAAGAAGAGAAATCCTCAATTTATCTGTCCAATTTTTATCTATTTCAAACAATCTTAAATAATATCAAAGTGAATCAGAACAGAAAACCGAGATCACTAAATAGTAAATAAATTTGTATTATTTACCATAAAATGGAAAATTTTGAAGTATCTGAAATATTCAACGAATGATAAAGCAACACTGTTTAAGAGTTACTGGAAGTATTTGTATCTGAATAGTAAACAGGAGGCATGATAGACATAAAACATCATATTTAGTGAATGGGCTTCGATCGATCATAATACACAAACTATACGGAAAGAAGAATCAATATGAAAAGAAAGGAAGAATTACAAATAACTTAGAAAAATGGGACCTTTTGAGTTTGTATTTAAATCAGTTCAATAAAACTACTTACTATAATAAATATGTATGATAATTGGAATTTACTCTATTAACTTCTACACACTTTACATTTAAAGTGATAAAAAATTACTAGATTTTCAACCTACGCGAATCATTGCCCATAATCCCACATTCTTCTCCATTCGATTTAATTTTATCTGTTTGACCAATACCAGATTGTAAATAAGAATCCACAGGAGTTTGACATGTGGATCCAACTGACATTGATGAAATGGAATCACGTTTAGATAATCCTGGTGAAGGAAAGTTGATAGATGTGTCACCACCTCCATTGCCTGATATTGAAGAAGTTTCATTCAACCCAGAACTATAAGTACTATCTTGACAAGATGAATTAATTGTCTCGTCTAGTGATGCAACAGCGTCGAGTGGATTATCAACTGAGTTAGCTGAATGTATATGGAAAAAATACAAACAATTTAATAATTATAACAAAGAAATAACACAAACTCAATAACGAAAAAAATGTAACGAAAATAGATCAACCTTAAGAACGACTAGTTAGATTAGCAACGAAAAGCAGACCCCGGAAATTGTATAACAATCTACACAATATACACTATTATGTGGAGACTCTCTATCTTCTGATACAATTCTTGATGAATGAGAGCGGAAAGTTTCTATTTTCGTATGTTTCAGATAAACAAAACAATCTTCAGGTAGCCCTACAGCCAAAAAAATCTGAAGAGAATAAATATTTTATACTGCTTATAGGTAGAATAAAATAATGAAATATATTAACCGCTCAAAAGAATAACAGAACAGAGGAAATGTTTAGAATAATTGAGGTAAATTCCATGTTATCCTTAATTGGTTTTTGAAGATAATAGAAACAGTGTTTTTTATTACATACTTTTTGCCATTGGCCTCAATTTCGCCAGATATATTTCGTTGTTTTATTGACCTGAAGATGACGATAACAACAACAACAGTGTGGTATGTGTATTGGATAGACATGAAAAGTGATAGTATGTAAGTAATCCGATTGCTTTTTTTGTGCAAACAAAATGATAGGTACGTAGGTGATCAAGGAAATATAATTAGTTTTAATTGTGAAATAATAATACAGAAAACCAATAATCATATAAAGTGTTTAGCATGATTGCTTTGTAAAAGCAGTAAGTTAGAAGTAACTGATCTAAATTGTTTAATTATTTGTCCAGTTTACCTTTTACTTTCAAACCAAACGTTGACAGAAATAATGACACATATCTACTCAATGTTTACATTGATTCAGTAAACTGGATAGAATGAAACTCCACTACAACTGATACCAGTGCGACAAAGTGCATGATTCAGAGTCGATTAATGAAAACATTAATTGTTAGTTTGAACAGAGTTGACACACTCAGACTTCTTGTTGAAAGTTCGTGGTTTTAGAACAATGAGAAATAAGAATCAAAAATCGATCAAAACACGAGAGAAAAAAATAGTGTTATGTCTATCTTGCTTCTCAGATTCTCTTTCATTGCGCTGTTAATTAACGTGATAATTAAGATCAAGACAGTATTATACGAGAAACTAAACATTGATTAATCACTCAATTCAGTTATGTCCCTTTAGTGCATATAAGTAGAGTACTTCAAAATTGCAATATAGATTAATAAAGCATTTTAAATAATTACAACTGATATTGTTAAAATTACAAACCGTTCACATAGATAATAAGTTTTTTTTAGCCTTCACACTGAAATCAGTACAGTGATAGAATGTATCAACAACAGCATTTGATGAGAGGAAGATATTGAGAGGATAATCAACATTCTCCATTATTAATTATTTTAATTGTGAATGTATGAATTGTTCTCATCAAACTACGTTGAGTAGCAAATATCATAATTTCACAGGTTGAAATCATGAGTCAGTTGAAGCTGGACCACCATTGAAAACCTGGAAGCACTGGACGGCCGTTTCGTCCTGGTATGGGACTCCTCAGCAGTGCGCATCCACGATCCCGCACCACGCGGGGCTCGAACCCAGGACCTACTGGCTTCGCGTGGGAGCACTTAACCACTAGACCACTGAGCCGGCATCCAACGGTGTTAATGTCTAACTTCAACCAATCCACGAAGTTGCGCCACCGTACACCATTGTCTTCAGTGAATTGTTATCTCACAACAGACCGGTTGAACTCCACTGGTAACGGCTTCTCACTAGAACTTCAGGAGTTTTTCCTAAAGGCAGTCACTAGTGAGCAGTTCATTATTATTATCAGAATGGGTTTTGTGGAGAATTTCAGAAATTTCTAAAATTCTCCACGACTTAATTTGTTTTGTTTTTTTCTATAAAAAGAAACCTTGTTACACTCACTGTACAATGAATATGTACACAGAAGTATCTTAGTGATAAATATGAATGTGTATTAAAACGTATTTGATACCCTATCAATCATTGATAAATACAAATATTAAAACAACTTGAGGAAAAAAGAAAGCAAAACAACATGACGAGAATAAAAAAGAAAACAAAATGTAAAATTAATCAACACAGAAAGCTTTCGTTAAAATTTGATTAGAATAAGTGGCTATCCATAAAATTATGTTAATTTTAGAAAAACAAAACATTTCAAATTTAATAAAGTTACCATTCACATAAAGTTAGTTTGTTGTTAATGTTAACATCTTGATGTATACTAAGGATATGGTGAACTCATATGATTACAGAAATGTCTCCTAGATAAATTAACAGTGATTTTAGGTAATATAGGATCACAAGTGACTTTTGAATACTTTAAATAAAAAGATGATTCTACACTGAGTTAACTAAACTTTTTACACAGTGAAAATTTCAGATATGTCAAAATCATCTCGAAAGAAATAATGTATCATTAAAACAAACTACAAGGTTATTAGACTCCATTTCTGTTAACTAAATATACATGACTTATCGTTCTGGAAACTTGACTTTGCTGAGTTGTAGAATGGCTCTTTGCATTATATACCAAATAAGGCAGATAATCACTATTAACGTTAAAAAGACTTCGGAAGCCTACGTCCTAAACAGATGGATTTTCGGTTGCTTATTCTTTGTTCTAACCAAGTTTTTGATACCAAAAATGACAAAGTTTTATGGTGAACACACTATTAGTGTTAGTAAAATTTCTTCGCTGTTCAAGCATATATATATGTCAAATGAACTAAACTATTCATACTACACATATTATTGATTTACTTATGTGCTTCATAAGAGTGAAAACTACTCAACAGTTTTTGATATTATCTCCCCTTCTGATAAATATGAAAATTTCTAAAAGGGTAAAAAGGTAACGCAACATAATAGTTGAAATAAACATTTCTCCGAAATTACCGATAAACATGTGTGTTAATGTATTTTTAGATAAGCAAAAATGAAAATAATTACTAACAAAATTAATTATTTAAATACCATTGTTGTTACGATGAAGAAATGAGGGTAAGAGGTGAAAATCTTTTAATGTATTAGCTTTCTTTTGTTTATGACGTGTATCAGAATCACAACGTCGATGAATAGAACAACCTGTAATTTAGTATTATTAATTAGTGACAATATGCATTTATATTATAGCAGGCGTTGTTAATCATTAGTGCACAAATCAATTTTAATTATGATGAAGAAAAGAATGCAAAGAGAAAACAGAATAAAAAAGAAATTTTAATTAATAAACATAAAAATATAGTGAATATCATATGATATTTCACTTCTATAACAATGTAAAATTTAACTTAGGAAATCAGTAACAAGTTAAAGAGGCTTCAAACAGAAAATGAATGATTACTATGGACGATATATCATAATTAGTCGACAAGAATTAATAGTTAGAAATCACAATTATTCTATGGATCTGTAACACAGTATATTGAAGTGTTAGACTATGACGTCAAACAGTGGATAATATCAACAAAACACTTTGTTACCCTTTTGAGTCCGTGATAAGTGATACGTTAATGTATTACGTTAGTTATTTGCAAATCCAAACACAATACAATGGATAAAATTGTTTCAATACACTTATTCTCTTCTCCCTAAATAAAATGAGAAAACCAAGTCTGTATAGAAGCTTTACTCGATAGAGATTGTGTATCTTTACATTATGCTTCACAACTGAGAACACTGTACGAAACTATGGATAATTGTAACTAAATCTGTATCTTTCATCAATCTTCTTATCTAGATTTGTTGGTAACACGCTACACGTTGTAATGGTAAAACAAATATGAACAGAATCAACAAAATTGAGAAGTGTCGCGTAAAAAACGAAAGAAAATTATTCTTAAATTCATTTTTTACGTTCTGCTTTCTGTTGGTACTCAACAGAATAATAGACCTGCAAAGAACAAATCCAAGAAGCGTATACTCTCTCTGGAATTAAGATAATTTAGTTCCAAACTGCTGATGCCCAAAATACCCAAATGACTCTCGTAAGTTTGTAATTATGTTTTGTTATGCAACTCCATGGTAACATTGGGAATGCTTCGAACTGTTTGAGATACACTGTTCAACTTAATGTTGAACTATTAAGTTAAGTGAATATGACACTAAATTCGATGATAAAATCAGTTAGTATTACTTTGGTGAATGTTCCCATTAAATTTTCCAATCAACCAAACGGAGAAAAAAAGCCACAACACCTATAAAAATTATAAACAACTTGCCGTGATAGATAAAATCACTCGAACCAATTTGACTGGGATTTAAGGGAACTTTATTGCATGATTCATTCGTTTGGTTCGGTGTGTTACCTGGAACATGTGTATCAATTGTGAGATTTGGTATACTACCAAGTAAACCGCCTAAAACATTTGCAGACGTGACGCCAGTTGTTCTACGTCCTTCTCTACTACAATGATCTCGAATACCATTTTTACATTTTAAGTGTATAAATAGATCACAATCTACAAAGTGAAAGAAAAAAATGTCTTGATCATAGTTGGACATTAAGAAAACATTGGAGAAACTTATCTACAACCTTGAAACAATATGAAACCATTGAAATAATGATTTTGAAAAGTATTTATCATTATCAGGTGAATTATAAGTTGAGTGGATATATCAGTTAACGATAATGAGTGATAAGAATTATTTCATTAGTATATAACTTAGTAATTAAATAAAAGTCAATGCACTCTGTATTGACATATACTCTATTTGATATAATAAGTTTTTAATGAGTTGATTCGGAGCTACAAAGTATGATTCTTTATTCACTGATATTTGTTATAGGTGAAAATTATGGAATGAGATAAGTTGCTTAGTTTAATCTCAAATACAGAAGAATGAGTTCAAATAGTTTATAATTCATTAAGTTGATTGATCACCGAGTAGTAAGTAATGTCATGTTTATCTAGTCCTTTAATGCTGAACTAGAACAGTTAACCAATTTACAATATGGTCACTAGTCTAAGCGACTCAACACTGACCACATTATATTTTGAAGTTCGGCGACTGGAGATAGTCAGTAGGTAACGCTGGATCCAAGTTTTGAGATATTTGACACCAGTCAGCAAGACATACTTTCTTTTTTGAGGAAACTGACGCTCTTACGATTTGAAACGTTACCCCTGATCAATTCGGATAGCGGTTGATCCTCTGTAAGATTGTGACACTTAAACCGACTGGTGATTTAGAACATACACGCCTAGTTGATGAGTGCCAAGTAACATGAAACCTAGGTGCCCGGTCTTCTGTCGACTATCTGAAACTAAAAAAATGTCCGTTCATAGAAATGGACGAATACAACTTATACAAACTTCAATAGTAGTATAGCTATATTTGATGCGTGAAAAAAATTTAACTTACTATTACAATTGAAACCTTGTGAATTGAGTCCCCATAATAAAAATCCACATACACCACAATCAGCAATACGTTCGTAAGTGTATTCATAAAATAAATGACCTTTGTGAGACCACTAAAATCGTATTGGTTTTTTCCAGAGAAAACAAATACATGACATTCATTAAGAACTAATTCAAATAATAATTTGATTATATGAAGGTTATTGGACAATAACAAAATGTTCGATAATGTTAACCAAATATCAGTATTTTTAGGTATTATAATGGTCAGATTGTTTACTATGCTAGAATCTTCTTCATAGGCAAAGCATTTCGACTTAATTTAAACTGTATTCTCCAAAAAGCTATTATTATTTCAAAAAATGATTAAAGATGGTCAAAATAGAAATTTCGACGACCACAATAACAACAACATATCTTGGATTCAAGTAAAATATCCTTTAGTAATTGCTTTGTTATTATTTATTCACTATCTAGTCGAAAAAAAAACACTGTTAAAATGATATGGTCAAATTTAAAAATGTAAGGCAAGTATTTAGAGTGAAATGCATAGAGGATAATTTAATACTAAAGAGTTAATGAGAACTGAATGATTGTTGCATCAACATCAGTGTACATACATGACGGTATGAGGGAACTAATCTTAAATCTCAAGATCTAGCAGTTAATAAATTACCATTTAGACTAGAAACTAGTGATCTGAATTCACTGATCTCAATTAGCCATTGATACAAACCAATTATGATACGAATATCTGTCACTAACAGATGTATTCGATTTTAATTAATCATGTATATTGATATCATATGTATTGATAAATAGAGAATCAACTAAATATATTTAGCTCACAATGACCTATCTTTAGTGTAAAAGATTTTATAACTTTCTAAACTGTAAAGTCACTGTGTATGTATTCAGTGAATAACGATGTGTTCTATAATAAATTAACAGTCTAGAACGAATATATAACTGTAAACATTTGACAAGTTCTCATATTACACTGTGAGTACTTAGTTACGGTATGATTTTTCTATATTACCATGTATTCATGTATAATGTCCTGACAAAGTGATCTCAATAAGCTAATCGATTAAAAAAGGAACATATTTTGCAATGTAATTCATTTCCAAATTTTAAAAAATCAGTTTTATATTTGACATCAGAGAATGTTATATAATATATCTACCATTAATTGAAATACATGAAACTGAACATCAAGTATCTATTCCGTTTTAGGGTAAGAAAGTTAATGAAAAACAAAAACCAGAGACTCTTATGAAAAAATAGAAATAATAACAAACGTTTGTAATAATCAACATGTTACTCACTTTACTTTTACGATTGAGCAAAGAATGTGATTTTTGTTTTGATTTAGCACAATATGGAGTTAATTTTGTCCATAAATGTGAACCAGCAGATGACAGCCCACTTCCTATGCTACCTGATACACTACCTAAACCCAATGCGGATGTAGTTAAATTTTCAAAAGACCTGATTTTGTTTAAAAAAAGAAAAAAACATCATCAACAGTTCGTGTGTAAAATATATGGAACTAAGAGCGTTAAAATCAGATACTTTTTAAAGGATCTAGTTGAATATAATTGACAGGAAAGCCTGGATCAATGTTCCACGCTAGTTAAAACTTATCAGAAAGATATACGGGAAATAGAGCTGTTGAATGGATTCGAACACAGGTTACTCAATCCTACAGTCTAAGATATGACCAATAAGCCATCTGGGCTACGACTGACCTTATCATGTAGGACTGAGATATTTACATTGATTGATCTTGAAGTAGAAGCTGATGTATTTGTGGATCGAATTCTATCGATCTAAAAACCTAACAACAAAACATAGAGCTGGTGACGTTGAGTCGCTCAAACTAATAGCCATATTGTAACTTAATGGACAGAATTGAAACAGTAGTAAAGGACCAGACAAACATGGCACTGGGCACTGATCAGTAAATGAAAATAATTGCTCAATATTTTCTGTTTTGAAGTAATTGTATGGTTGATAATAGTTTGTTACCAGAACTACCATAAAAATATATTCATACAACAATCTACATAGTATCAGTTAATAATAATTGCATGCATACTAATGACTAGTTTCAAGATAGATTCTTCAAGGTCCTTGAAACTAAAGTTGATATTAAAGGAGTAAATCACTGATGGGTCTAAATAAATATTGTACTCTATACCATGAATGCTAACCAGAAAAAGAATAATTTAAAATCAGGGAAATCCCATTTTCAGTTGTCTGATAATAAATGTGACTGCCACAAAAACATGTAGTAGACTGAAAGTTGGATGGATCACAAATTCTGCTGGATCGTAAACCAAGACAAAACAATTTGTTAGTTATTCAATAGCTCTCAATTGTTGATATCATTTTATAGTTGAGATATTTTTTTATAATAATATAATTTTATCTCTAGTTTGACTTTTATTTGTGAATAAACTTAGCGAATAAGGAGGAATGTCACAGTATGAAAACCAAATGATTAGTTTTTTTACATTTTTACTTTTCTCAAACTAAAAAAACGACGTAACTTTACAAATAAAACAAACAGTAAAAACAAGGTACATCTGCATTCTGTTCGATTGTCTCAAGGTTGTTATTCAGAACTGATGGAATTAATTAATTGATATTTCAATATTGATCTGCTACCTATTCTCCCAAATAAATTCTCTACTATATCGGAGTGAATTAATTTCATGAGTAATTTTTCTTAACCCTTACTCGAAATATGAAAGAAAACTATAGAATATTTTCTATGACAACAATTATTAACAAAACAATAAAGAATGGTGATAGTGAAATGAATGTTTCTTTTTGAAATGTAAAAGACAGTTTGAAGAATAAAAGAAGTACTACAGTACCATCATTTATCATCATCATGTCAGATTTCTTTCTGCAATATCTATAGAATTCACAAGTTGAGTTTTATAGTACAAATATTTGTATGAAAACAAGTTAATTGGGAATGAAAAAAACACTGTTCACCTTTCTCTTCACACTACACTATCTAAGGACATCAAATTAGGCTTGCGTTTTTAGTAGAAATGAAGAAGATTAAGGATGAAATCTCGATTGGTTCATATATACGTAAGATTATACCAATTACGTGCAATCCACGTAACCCACTTGAAATAATTTAACGAAAAAAAGAAATAACTGTAAATCGGAGAGCCACTTTGTATACTTTTCTCACTTAAATCCCATATTGGAATTACAAAATCATCATGTTTACAGGGTATTCTAACCAGAATATTTATGAATTTTTCTTTAGATTGATAAGTCACGCGTAAAACAAAAAGATCCTTAATGTTATTGGTAGTTTTAAACTCAACTTCTCGATTTTACACTGGGCACTAGTAACATACCTTGCAAAAAGACTATGTCTAATAGAATGTCCAGAATCTCTAGTTTCAGGATAATCTGCACTTGATATCTGAGACATGGAATAATACCGGTGAGCTGTAACCAAACAAGTAGTAATCGCTTGAGTAATTTGTTCATATGTAACTGATACAGATGTGTTTGGCAATCGACATATGCTAAGAGCAATTGGATTATCTGTACAACTTCCGGTAAACAGTTGATGCAATGCATCAAGGTAACTACTTAGACGCGATTCGAAACATGCTAATTCTTCTTCTTTATTACGAAACAGAACGAAATCAATTGGCTCAGAAAGACACCATGTATCCATACCTGGTTAAAAGGAAAAAACGTACAATCAGATATAAAGACAATAATTTTCAGTGATAACTAAAGGTGAGTAATATGAATAAAGTCTGTAAAGTACATTTCCTTTAAGGTAGGATATAAAGCAAAACAAACTAAAGAGTGGAGTTAAGAAGCTGGATTTTAATTACATTTAAACTGTGTATTAGTGGCTAGATAGAAAATAGGAGAAAGTAATAGAATGTTTGAACTAAGATATGAAAAACGTACACGATGACATTGGCTATCGCCCTAACGTATAGTGGTAAATGAAAACTATCTGGTGAGGGTCTATTCTATAATCACACTAAATAGTTGAAATTCGGGATCGATCATAGTGGCACAGATCCATTCACTCTTCCTTCATACAAACTACTTAATCCTGCATTCTCGTAACATGTCTTCAACACAATCTTTCTATCACTGTTACTACAGTTATTTTGACTTCATTGCTATTCACCTTGTTAAGTTTCATCTAGTCACGACGATACGGTATGGAAGCTTTGATCAATGCATTTTTTTCAAAAACTCTAAGTGACTTAAAAACTCTTAGGGTTATGATACTGTTCATTATTAGGAAAGTGAGCATAGTTCAGATCGTCCAAAAGTAACAAAATCTATAGTGAATTAAACTACATTTATTAAAGAAAAGATAACAATAGTTCGTCTAATCTATGGTAGAAAGTATATCATATACACAGTGAGGTATCAGTTTTAAAATCAAGCAAAAGTGTATATGACACTTTGCCAACCCACCAAAAGATATCATTTATGAAACTCCACTGAGAATCATAATAGGTCCATACAAAAAGAACAACTGATTTGATAAGCAAACCGTATGCAAGTGAGACGGTGAAGTATAAAATTTACCTAAATTAATTGCCTCAGCTAATTTGGAAACTTGTACTTCAATCTGATTCACACACTGTTGATCAATAACATTGAACAATTTCGAGCATTCATTAAAATCAAATGACTTCAACACAACTGGAGTTCGTACATCTAAACGCAACGGCTAAAATGAAATGAAACAGGAATCAATAAAAAAGATAATTTACTAATTTTATATACATTTGTTACCGAACAATATGATGCAATATGATGTTTATAATTTCATGAATTCAAATGCAAGAATTCGAGTGGTGGGTACTACTTGTGCAGACGGGTATGGGTAATATGTAATATGTTGTAGGAATAGGATGTAAAATGCTTACCAGCATAAGATTGAGATGAAGGGAAGAGGAATGAAAGCATGAAGCGAGAGGAATAACAACAGAATCGGAAGAATGGTGGAGTATGTAAAGAACAGCTCAAGGAAGACATGCAAATGATGTATGATTTTCATATTTTACAGAGGGACTGTGTAATTTTGCATAAAACAGTGCATTGGTTTACCGTACCTGAGTTTTCGTCCACTACATTTCTACTAGTGTACACGAGATGCGAAAATCTCAAAGACATAGTTTCAGGTTTGCATCAACGAATTTATGGTGCTAAACATTTAATTTTTTTAGAACATTAAAACTCCTAATATCATCATGTAATTTGCTTTTTCAAATGACGTTTTTATGTAAATTTTCTTTCAAGTTCTAGTACGTTGGACGGTAATTAAAAGTGTCATATTCACGTTGAATTCTCTGTTGCTTTGGTCAGTCACTAAGTTTATCAACTTGTTTCTTACATCACCTACAACTATTTAACTGTACAACAAACAGTTCAAATAGGTTTTTGAATGTAATTAAAATTATAAAAACAAGAAGGATAGGACACAAAGTGTATGAATAGATATAGTTAAGATCAATCTGCATTTATATGTTTGAAAGTAATAATACAGGGTGGGACAGGTGTTATAGTTACCAGAAATCATAATAAAGATAAAATAGATCATATAAGGGTAGTGGAAACTGATAAGTGATTGGGTAATCGCTCAACATGATAAAATAAACAAATGTGTGAACATCAATATGACTATGTAAAGGATGAATATCAGAAGACGAAAAAATAATAAAAATCAAAATGTTGGAGAAAGGGTTGGAAAAAAGTGGAAATTAAAATCTTGTGATTGGAGCAGAAAGAAGGCTATTCAGCTGAATGGGTCGCTTTCGTTACGCACATTTATTTGTTGTGTTATACCCTAAATTAAAATTAGTTAGGCTTATTAGATAAACACCTAATAACCATGTCGAAGGAATCACACTTTCCTTCTGCATACATCGGTCAAGTCGGTAAAGGTCTGATAGCGATCAGCTTTGCAAAATAGAGTAAGATTCATGTATTTTGTCTGTTAACTATTTTTATTATTACATCGTTAATGTTTAGATGATAGTTCAGTATAATTTGTCTTTGCAAAAAAATGTTGTGATCAGCGTCGTAACTTTCGAATGAAATCTAGATTTACTAAAATATGATAATTTTATTTCAGAATTGTTAATTTCTAAACGATGGGTAAAAAAAGAGTTATTTAACATGGAATCAATAAATTAAGTACTGACCGATGATATATCTAATGAAATAATTTTCCAAAGCACAACTGAAGGTTGGCAGTGATATCAACGACAGAAATAAACTGAGCTATTCGCTAGTGACTAGCATATTTGATTTAAAAAAACGTCAACATATGATCAAATTACAAATAACAATAATAGTTATAATAATCATCCCATGATTTACATACGTAAAAAACATTGTGACTTACAGACTTTTCATGTAGAAACGTTGTAAATATCTCCAGACAAACACGTTTTTCATCTTTAAATAATTCTTTTGACGAAGCCATTGATCGTTGAAAGTATTGGTTGACAATGTGGAAAAGCTAAAAGAATGGAATATATATTGAATTACATTTATGGCGATTTTATACAATATCCATCGATACATTTCAAATAATCTAAAGCTCTAAACAAATAACTGATTGCTCAGATGGAATCAATCTATGCACAGTCGAAAATAATTTCGGTTAGAAAATTTTGAAAAAAAATTGCCACAGAGAACTTAAGCCTTAAATCGATCAGTTATAATCAAGGTATAGCCTTGGGAAAATGTGAGTTATCTCACATCGCTATATCACATCAGCAAGAAGAGATAATACTGATAAAATAGATAGTTAAGGAAACGAAATAATATAGTAGCAAAGATAATAAGAAAAACTGAACATTGACAATATGAAATGAAAAAGTAGAATGGGAAGGTATGTACGAAAGAATGGTGGAATTTAACATCAAGAGAAGGATAAAGAATGAAACCAACTAAGTGAGTTAATTATATTGTTTATAATTGCTCACAAAATCCATAAATAGTGATCGTGGTTATTACACAAATGATCCTGATAAGGTAATCAGCAGTTCAACACTCAATGACCTCATGGAACGATCAAGACAAGATATGTAATCATGGTTTGATCGTTCCTAGCTTCCTACCAAAATATACGTACGACAGACGACAATGCGTTTCGAAGTAGATGGTGGTTGGGCAAGTGTAATACATCTTTACCACCCCAGTCAATGAATATTAACAACCACATAAACAGATTTCCCATCTTTGTGTAGCGGTTTGCGTCTAGCCCTGATATTGCTCACTCGATAACAGAAAAACACCGAAAGGTACTTATGATCAAATTGCCGATGTCCTCTATTTTTAAAGTCCACAGTCAGAGCGAAATCCTACTCAGTATATTAGTCGTATGTTTCAGAAATAAACATTCACCAACATCACAAGTGATGCAAGTTAACAAAAGCGAAATAACCTTTTTGAGTTTTCGGTGAGAGTATTTATACACTGAAACCACTTTCCTTATAGTTAATCACAGTGTTTTTGCATACGATGATTGCTGTGGAAATCCTTCATTCTAAAATAATCTAATGAACGGCAACAAGGATCCATAAAACAAGGTTGAGTTTAGGAATTTCTCTATAAAAATCTTCCGTTGTCTTTAGTGTAGTAAGACTGCATGATTAGGAACGTAAATCATACTGCTAGTACAACCACTTATAATTAAATGTACGCTCTTATTATCGGGTCGATAACTAGCGAATATTAATCCAAACTACTTGCACTATAAGCATACTAATATCCGACTTCCCTGACGTGGAACAAGTGCCGCAATCAGTCTGGCTCAACGAGGTCACTGTATTAAGCTAGCACAAACATTTTCAGGTAGAAACTAACCTATAGTAAAAGAAAATCAATTAAGTAATGAGTTTAAATATACAAAATAACAGTTGACTATAGGTTGACTAAAAAGATGAACATCTGTACTTACCGTCCATGTAGGATCTCGTTTATGAGAAAACAAGTAATCGATAAACATAGCACACTTAGCCGGACTATTCATTACTGACGTTGCACTGTCGAATTCTGATGATAAGTGAGCAAGATCATTTGCAATGCTAAGCTGGAAATAAGAAAATATAATGCAGAAGATATACAGTGAATTGTTGAAACTGTAACCTGCTACTGTTTCACAGAATGATGTTTGCAATAATTTATCAGAAAAAAAAAGTAATTTAACCTGAAGATCTAAGGATAAAAATTGTCATTTATTGATATCAGCAAAGAACTTAGTTAAGTTGAAGATAGTTGTATTCAAAAACCAGGTAATCCATATGCAAACAAGATTCACTGGTTAAATAATTTTCTGAATATTCTTTAACTATTATGATACAATGGTATTCCTACATGTCCGACATTTCTTTTCAGCAGTCAATTTCATAAATTTCTTATAACGTCTAACGAATATGAATTTAATAACTCGAACAGTCACTGAGCAAAAACATTTGAACAGTAAATAAATACCTCAGAAAAAACCTTGTGTTTAATCGATTTGAAAGAAGAATATAATTTGAGAGATTTAAGAGACAAAATAACCTTGAATTTCATTCCATATACACTCCTCACACTGTGTAATTCGCTCTGATTAGTAATTTGTTAAAGAAAATCCATTTACTGAGTATGACAAATGAAAGAAACAAAATAGGCAATCTCTAGGAGACGTTGAAGCAGATAAGATTTTATGATCAAAAATAAAACAATTTCAGAGTATTACATAATATTAACCAAATAAATATATGATAAATACACTGGACGACTTGCAAATATTCGAAGTGATATGCCTTGACAGTCAAAATAAAAAGTACATATATTGGTCAAAATTATGATGCACATCAAAAGCATTCCATAATAATCGATTATTATTATTATTATCATTCAATTCATTCTAACTGGAACCAGAATATCGATTAGATCAAAACAGAATTTCGAATAAATAATGCACGAGACGAAAGTACAACAATCACATGTAAAATACAGTTAGCGTACAGACAATGCGCACATACGTACATCTCACCCCCCACCCATATATATATATATATATATATATATATATATAGAGAGAGAGAGAGAGAGAGAGAGAGAGAGAGAGAGAGAAGCAAACAGACATCATGTAAACAAATTTTTGATACTTTACGAAATATATCATGAATGGATTGTAATTTGTAAATATCTTAAAACCGTAACGCAAATATATACAAATCAGAGTATCTAATTTCGAAATTCAACGTATTCCAATTCACGGAATAAAAAATAAATAAAACCTTTCTTTTCTCTTTACTAAATCAATATTAAGATTCGTTTGCTAAATAAATGATGTTTTGTGCAAGACAATGTACACACAGTTCTCTCTCTCCATATATATATATATATATATATATATATATATATATATATATATATATATATATATATATATATATATATATATATATATATATATTGGTCAGAAATCCGACAAATTAATTAGGATGATCAGAAAATATTGATTGGTGATAAATTTTAAAAAAAGACTGAATTAAAATGAGATTAATATTGAACTAATGAATTATTGTAATATTAATTAGAAACCATTTCGTAGTTAGTTTTGAAAAATTTTTTAGTTAATATATTCATATCGATAGAGTTCAATTTTAAAAGTTAATTGTAGAATGTAAATTGTTTATTACAAGATTATAAAATATAAATAAAACAAAATAGAGATAAATATTTTGACAAAAGAAAATGTTTGCTAACAACCATATTATACGGTCGATTATTCAACATTTGAATTATTGAGTTAATCTAAGTTAGACCATCATTGAAAATCTGGAAACACTGGACAACCGTTTCGTTCTAGTATAAGACTCCTCAGTAGTGAGCATCAGCATACTGACAAAAATATTAAGTAAGCAATGTATGATATTATTTAAATAGTAATAAGAATACAAAAAGCTTATTGGAGTTATATTATGAAAGGTATATTTGAGAATACTTATAATGAACTCTACAAGATATTATAATTAACTGAAAATGCCTATAATGTAGTTGTGTTATTCAGTTATGTGAATTTAAATACAAGATTCGAAATAAATGTTAATGTTAAGTTCTACATAAATGATGTAGAATTCTATTTTACTTAGATGATATCTTCAAATGAAAAGTATCTTTGAGGAAAACTTATAAGCCTTTAAATTGTATGTAGTAGTAATTACTCGATAATCGATTAGCATTAACAACACACATTTATTTCATTTCCTTATTATATGATTGATTTAGTTTATCATTTATGGGATCTTTAAATAGTTCATGATCTTTCCAACGTTATTTTGTTATTAAGTTGATGATGCTAATTAGGTAACTTTGTGCATATATACACGTTTATATTGGAGATCAACACTAGTGATATGTATTATGAAATAGGTTGATCTTACACTAAATTTAAGTTATACAAACCAGAAATAGGTTACATTCTCTTTTCTGTAGGTACAGAACTATTGAACACAGTGTAATGTATAAATATAATAATAATAAAAATAATAATAACGAAATCGGAGCACACAAGAAATGAGTTAAATTTACTTTATTTATTATTTCTGAGAAAAAAAAGACATAGGGAATGGATGAATCTATGAAAACACTATATAGGAAAAAAATAGTATAGAAGAGTGAAGTATTTCATATATGGTACTGACCAAATGAATTTCAATGAATAGCAAAATGTTACTAACTATGTCCGCTAAAATTAATGAAAGATTCAAAGGCTATGATAAGTCATATTAATCGAATACATGATTATATACTTGCTTTTAGGTCACAATTTTCTACGTGTATGTAATATAGAAATCCTACCCTATTGTCACATCAAAGTTAGTGGGTCACGATTTGAACATACAACTTACTGTTCCAGTGCCTCCTCATTATATTAAAAGTTGCTTCATCCATGACCAACTAATTGTTACTGAACAAAACCACATGACACTGATTATTATCCAGAGATCAACAAGTGCACAGATGTTTCACAATACACAAGTAACACTCTAAGAGTATTATTAATCAATAAGGTAGAACAAATTCACGTCATTCATATATAAACATTTGATCAACTCTTAACTCAATCATATATATTAAAAGGGTGAGATGTGGAAAGACATATGATTGATTGATAAGTATTTCTATAAACGACATCATAGTTTAGTGATAATATATATAACATATATACCTTAAAAAGTCGTTAAGAAAACGTTGAACGCTGTGTTGATATGTGAATAGTTTACAATTGAATACCAAAGGTATATTAAAAATAATATTTAATTTATAAACAAATACAATCTATCTCCAGATAGTACGAAAAAAAACAAAAATTACTGACAACCTATTCATTATATAGAAGAAAACAATGATGAGTGACGTAAAGAAATGAGTACAGCAGAAAAGTTTCAATGGAATGGCGATTTTAAAATTTAATTAAAAAACAAATAAATAAATAAATTTATGTGATTAAAGATTATGATTATGATAAGACAAATGAAATTGTAATGAGAAAAATTAATCCACTAGAGCTGAACTCTAAAACAAACCAATCTAGATTACATATATGTATATAGGGCTTAAATTAAGAGTAAACAAATAGGAAAAACAACAGATTTAAATATTAAACTAGATGTCAATACTGTTGTTATTATTAATAATATTGACAATCTTGAACACTTTTGTCGTACTCAATGCCATTGTGGTGTATGCTATTGATGTCGATAGATATAAGTAGTATGTATCACCAGTCGAAAGTGTGATGCATGGTGGCAGAAGGTTGATAAGATGGAAGAGAAGAGGACGAGAACAGACGGTGATTAGTATGGAAATAAAAGAACAATAAAGTTTGAGATAATTGATTGACATCTTGCAAATGAAGTATTTACTGTATAGCTCTCAAATCTTACTACGAGATTCTGCAATTATGTACTCGAATACACTTGGTTGTCCCCACTTGTGTTTTCGTTCACTAGACCGTTAGTTGATCAACCCTAGATTTGTTGTGGCATATCGCGACTGTTGTGTGAAGTGAAGGAATTAGAAGCAGACATTTTTCTTCTTAAACTTGCAACTGTAAAGTATAGAGATATCTAACAACGTTTACTACTGATGCTTATAATTGTTATACAGTTATATATATTCTTTCATAACGATGTTGTATTCCATTGCACAAGAACGGTTTGCATAATAAAACTATTGTTGTTATCACTATTCTTGATTGTTTATGTTTCAGTGACAGCTAAATATCACCAATTATTCTAAGGCTCAATATTCTTCATGTAACCGTACCAAATGGCAAGATGATTTCACAATAGCTAATTATTTTATTTCAAACAATGTGAACGATGTAAAATTAGAGTAATTTTTATAAGAGTTACATTTGTGATCGTATTTACCGATTAATTATAGTAGTCTCAGGAAATCAACAATTGGTTTGCACTAATTGTTTAATTGATCCATAACGTAAATCTAACTTATGTATGAGGTAAAAGATTTCTATAATCCGCTTTAGTGTAAGAGCAACTAATTATACTTAGGCGGTCGAACTGATTAAGCAGATAGATGAAATGAGTTTTGAATCTGCCGCCAAGTGGTTAAAAGAAACACCGGAACTGTAGCCACTAAACTATCAATGATTTAGCTTCACTTGAGATAATTAACAAATGTTGTAATATAAATAATTTCAATACGATTATTAATAGATAGAAAAACCATGAATACGATATAACCCATAGCATATACTGAAAGGAAAGTACAAGGAGTTGAAAGATGTTACAACACATTCAGTCGCAAATTAGATTATAGTTTAAGTATGGACAGCGAAACTCACATCACTTTCACCTTCATCGTCGAAATTCCTACCCATAACACGACCAAGAGGTGGTGTACTACTAGAAAACTAAAATCACAAAAAATAATAAAATAAAATAATAAAGAATAAAATACACACTTGTTCACATTGAATAGAAACTATCTAAGCTCATTACAAACTGTACTGTATATTGTTTAGCCTTGAAAGATGGCTACTGAGATTATTTTACAGAAAAAATCTTTGTGTTTGTCAGTTTTTTGATTAAATAAATCTTCCGATTCCCTATGAAAATTCAAATGAGATCACTGACACAGTATTTTATCATTAAATTCGATACGAAACACATTGTAGAGAGAGAATCCCCGGTTAATGGCGCATCAGTGAATAAGATAATCAATAAAAAACGATTGAAAAATTTAATGAGAAAAATCAAAATGTTCTGATTTATCCATAAAAGTTTATCTAAGGAATTATACGAATGTTACTATTATACAAACATTTACTGTCCTACAATTTGTTCATTTGACTCTCCAGCTATGATAGTGCCATAATTTACACTTCTAATGCTGTTTTATCCTGTTATTCTTTGTTTGTTTTAATTAGTTACATAATTCCCTGAATGCCATAAATTGAAAAAAAGCTGAAAATAACTTCGAGATCAGTGAACAGTTTAGTGGCGGAAACATTGTCACTGGTGCTAAAGTCTATATTACACAAATAATAATCACGTTAGTGTTAGGGTTTCTAGTTAAGCACAAAAGGTCACTTCAAATAGAAACCACAAATTTCCAAACTGACCAATGTATCAAAGAGAAGTATTCATTTACCTTTAACTAAAAGTTGTTTGCTACGCTTATTTTTGTCATAGTTAAGGTGTTCAAGAATCGAAACTAATCCATATTGTCATCAGTATTGGTAGTTTTCAAAACTCACCAGACTTAACTAATTTCAACTGATCAATCAATACCTGAGGTTTTATCTTCTCATATTAACAATACAAATTTAAATATGCACAATAGTTTGTTGTATTCTTTTTTTCTTTTTTTGTAAACATTCAAGGTTGTATTGGAATTCAGGGTATATATATATGAAAAAATGCAAAACTCAAGTAGGTCAAAAGCATCTCATAGAGCTTGCTATATGTAGTTTATCGATTAGAAATAAATTTATACACCTATGAAGTAAGCAAGTGCACAACCACTCAACCTTGCACACAAGCACAAATACAGATAGTAAACCTACTTCTGGATGAAATGTGCTAATTGTAAACAGAATAGTTGAAGGTTTGGAGAGAGACAATGATAATAGTCAAGTAACTCTAAAATATCAAGTTGAGTTTTAAACTTACGTGTGTGTTTGTGTGATATAAAAAAGTTTTATTTACGGAAATAAAGGATTCACAGAGGATTTGAATATCAAAGGTTTCTAATTTATTGAATAAAAAGATCAAGTTTAGTGCAATATGTAAACAGACTATTTTATTTAAGTTCAGAGTTATGATATGGTGGTTAGGGTGTATGATTTTCATTTAAAAAGTCGCAAGCTCGAAACCAAGTATGTGAGCATATGCCTGGTCAATTGTCTAATTTAATTCGTAAACTAATAATTATTAATACTAACCAGCATTAAATCAAACAATATATATTTGACAATTTAATATCTGGTAGGGAAATGTATTAGGATATTTGTATAACACAAAGTATTTCTTTGAAAAACTGGTCTTTTTTTTTATTAATTAAATTGCAATGGAATACCAGAGGAATGTTAATAATTTTCTTAGCCCTCTTCCCGATAATATCAGCATACAAAGTATTTGTTATGATTGTCTAAAGATCCCTATCATATTAAAAGACTAATATTTGAACGAACAATATTCTTTTCGAAAAGTTCTCTTCAGGTCTTACAATTATATATCCACACTAATAATCCGAAAAATGGCCAGGTTAAGGGCAAGGTGAGTCGTTTAAAGTTAAAGCATATTAATTTAGGACTATCAAAAAAGTTGAATAAAATTGTTAATGTTGATATGACTCAATGGGATGTTAACTTGAATTAGCTTATATATTAAATAAGAATTTCAAGACCCATGATCAGAATAAATATGGGTCAGATAGGGTGAGAGAAATAATAGTGTAACTACAATTTGATCAAATGTTTAATGAAAGACTATATTGTATAAAAAATTAATAAGACATAATAAGGTGGGATGAATGAGAAGTAAATAAATCATGTATTGAGGAGACTAATAAGGATGTTTAACCAATAGTAATAACAATAATAATACAAAAATTTGTGAATAAAGATAACAGAGACAATTACATTTGACTACGAAAGGTCGTATATTTACAATTGAGCGTAACTTAATGATGAAAACTAGCCGAAATCCCCATGATAGTAATATTTAAACAGTAAAATGGGTCTTGATAATGCTGAAAGTATGTTTTGTTGATGAAAGATTCAAAATGGTAAAATTTAAAGCTTCTAAATGATTACTAGCAATTATAACAACATAGTAAACCTTAATTTTTACTAGCTATGATTTGACTGCTTAGGTGATAACTTAAGACAAATTAATATACTCAATATTTATGGCAAATGAAATCCAGCATCTTTACAGCTTAGGAAAATTAAGCTGTGCAAATGATATAACAAATATTCTCTGTCCATCTATTGGTATACAAAAGTAAGCAAGAAGCAATTTTCAAAGACGATTTGGTTAAAAAAGCGATTATCAATATTAAATTATTACACAAAAATCCTGAGAACATAATAGAGTTTTAATAAAAACGAAGTAATGAAATCGTCTGCAACGTTTTGAATGTTCAATAAGCGAGTTTGGATGCATCACTTTCGGTCACTTTTCCATCTACTTAATACGTCAATCCTGCATAATAGTGTGATTTAAATCAAACATTTAATTTTAAGTGATAAATTTCACTACATTTCTGTTTCTAATCCTGCATTTAGGGATGCGCTACGCTGACGTATTCATAACACAATTGCAGATAGCTCCAGAAACTGAATGAAACCACTTAGTTAAAAATACACTCAAATATGCAGCACTCACCAATCAAATGAAAAGAAAAATTGATCTAAAGTGCTATATGTAGCACATTTATTGAACAGTGAAAACACTGCTGATAATTTCAGATAAGTAAAAGACACTGATTATGGACGGAATGTATTTTTTAATATCTCACAGAAAAATAGACATTTTCATGAACATTTAAACAAACGAACAAACATTAAATATAAATTATTCTCTTGTATGTTGGTGACTTACGCGAAACAACAGGTGTGATTTATCTAACCAAGTATTTTGTTATTTTTTTAAGACTATTTATCCTTACTGTTTCTAGGTCAGTTCAATTCATCTATTATTTATGCAGTTATAAAACAAAATCATCATGTTAAGTTCAGTTAACTTTTGACTGTCTAATATTGATTTCCACTGTGTCCAAAGAAAGATATGTATGTGCATCACTAGTTTTCGTACAAATGATTACTACTATGACAGCTAGTCATACGCAACGTAGAACCTGGCATATGTGTACACAGATTTGAATTTCCATAACCCATTAGTATACCTAAACGAAATTTTCAGGGCAGATTCCAGAGCAATAGAGGTAGTAACGGTATTAATTATAACGGAAAATATTAGGCATCGGAGAAAAGTTTTACTGGGAAGAAAATTCACTATTTTATTTATTAGTGAAAGAGAAACATTATAGTTGAATCATACAGTAAATGGTGTACAGTTCAGAAGTGTTATAATACATAATCATCAATCGGATTCATTTAAATAATAAAGTGTTTTGTCTAGATTAAGTTCAAGTATCTTCTTGTACGAATGCCGAAAACTCATCTAACCAAGGCTTTCCTAGACTAAATTATCTATGGTCACAATACAGTAGTGTATACATTATTCAATTATGCACATTACAACAATAATAGTTTTCTTAAGATAAGTTATTTAACAAAATTTCAGGAACATTTTGTGTCCCGATATCTGACTCTAATTTGATCGTAGGATGATTGCTATCGAAATATACATATCGTCAATCCTCGCATTTATATTTATAGTCAAATCGAATTGAGGCAAGGCAAAGGCTAAGTGAGGCAAAGCAAGGCAAGGTGAAGAGAATAATTAATAAGGTCAAAATGGAACTCAAGAAGAGTGAATAAGTTGGTCTGTCCAGAAGCTAGAATAAGCTATATAAGCTTGACATACAAACTCTTTAGAAAAAATCATAAAAACGAGTTTTTATTAGAAAACTAGTGATATTGATGAATAAAAAGAAATTTGAAGCAACTAGTTACTTTGACAAATTTCGATAGTGTAATAAGAAGACAAAGGTTATCAGAACTATGTGATATATTAGCGTAATACACTTCGAACAATCTGATCACATACAAACTTGTTAAGGACATTTGTATATAAAAATAAAAGGTCAACTAGACTAGAAATGGAGGGTAAGAGGAGACAAGGATAACAACCTGTGAAAATAAAATAATGTGAAAACAATTTGAAACCTCATCACTCTGGATAATAAGCTAATAATATCAGGTGACAACAAACTGATTTTGAATACACAAAGGGGGTTTGAATTTTCGTATGGCTAAGGCTTCAATAAGCCTTACTATACGCCCTTTTACACTTTTGTATAACACCACAAAAGCCGTGTTAAGATCAATCTTATGACCTGTTTCAGCTATGTCTTTGGCAATAGAGGATGATGAATATTTATCCTCAACTCTTATTGGATCATTAGATTTTATTTGTTTCTGCAATGAAAAGAAACGAATTATACTAATATGCAAATATCCTATTTAAATTAAAATAAATACAGAAGCATTATTGCATTTTTGATAAAAGTCAATGCAATAAAACAAGATGCTACTTGATAAACATGAACTGAATGACGACGATGATGAAATATTACAAGGAAATGTACTTTGAATTACATGTTGATTTGTTACAAAAAGGGACAGAAATAAAGGAAAAGATAGGAAGAACGGGTAAAGAAAACAGAAAAGTATGATTAGTATTTTGATTACATTTTTATGAAAAAAACACATATAATAAATAATAAATGTGAACAGAATACACGTAGGTAATATGTAGAATATGTAGTGAAACAGACAAGGATTCTTTTGGCGTCATATTGGCTGTTTCATTAGATTAAAATGAAACTGAAACTTATTAAATAGATACTTAAGAAAAAAACCAGAATATTAATTAGAAATAGAAGTAATAAGTAGCACAATTAGCGATACAAAATAAGACATCTTTAGTAATAATAATAATAATAATAATAATACTCCAAATTGAAAGTGATTTATGCTAATAAAGAAAATTTTATTTATGACAAAGTTAACAATAATCTTGGTGACTACATCGTAATTTAATTGCCCAATTCGTTTATCTAATGATTTAAAATAAGTTCCATTTCTTTATAGTCAATGAATATTTGCTAATATAACTTTCTACTATGTCAGTTCACAAAGGTATTTTTATAAAACAACAAATTTATTCAACAGAATGGTACAATGATAATACTAGTAATGGTAATCATTTCTTTGGAATAGTAAATCATATTAGAAGTGATCTAATAAAGTTAAATGGGAAAATTGATAGTTAATCATTCAGTTATCAGTAACACAACCTGGGCACAAATAGGCAATCAGTCCACGTCCCCATACCACATCAACATAAGTAGATGAAATTATCAAAAAATATCCAACATAGTAGTATTAATGATAGTAAAAGAAAATAGTCATAGAAAATACGATTTTAAAAGAACGAATTCATAGAATACAAAGTATAAAATAGTTTTGAAACTCAAGATTTAACTATAGAGATGAAAAGTGTGTGCATTTGCGTCACTAGACAAATTCAGAAGACCGTTATCCAACTTCTCCAAACATTGTTCATGGTAATCGCATCGACTCCAAGCAGCTACGAACTAAATATTGCACTAGATAATCCTATACACATTTAAAGCTTAGTAGGTTAAGCACTTGTGCCCTTAGACCAGTAAGTGATTGATTTAAACCACTTCATGTGACTTCACTTCAGCCAGGCAGATAATATAATCACTAAACTTGGTAATTTCGTTGACAACAATAACCAAACCACTTATTCAACTGGTGGATGATGAAGACTTACATGAATTGAACATAATCCATCATTCATTAATTCAAAAATACCATAGAAAATATATAATGATGTAAGCTAAGATTTATTAAAATGAGTCCATGATTGGTTTTCCAAGGAATATCAGACTAAATATACAATTTTCAACAGACTATTGTCAATATCACCTAGGTATAGTAAAACTGAAGATTGATAGATAATACTCACACAATTCTGACATTTCAATCAGATAGAACTAACATAAATGCATATATTTATAACCTATTATACAGTTTCCAAGCATTTATCAAAACGGACAGCAAATTAGTTGTTTACTTTACATTCATTTGGCCATTGGAACATTTAATTTAATCATTTATAAAAGATCTTAAATTTTATAATAAAATATGTAGTCAATAGATTGAAGAATGTAAATGTCACAAGACAAAAAAAGCACGAGTTCATAATTTAAAACAGCCAATTGGCAGTTACTTTACATTTTTATATAGTGGATGCACAAGGACAGATATTGTATGACGCCTGAATAAACTACATAAATGTCAAACTTTTCAACATACAGCAGGTGAGATTGAAATTTTCAGACTATTTGTTAAATGACTGACACTCGATATAACCAGTAATAATGAAAATGGTATAACTGTAGTTAACATATTCATTAAAATATTTCCCTTTAAGTATTTTTTTAAAGAATTTGTAAATAGTTATTGAAAAGAGAATGGATAACAATAGATGAATAGCAATTGCTAAAGTTTTCTGTTGTAACATTTTTTAAAAATGCTGTTAAAAACAATATCGATGACAATCCAACTCAGTAGACAAGTGCATGTTTATGTGTGGGCTAGTAAATACCATATTTGCCTGCTGAAATAAAGTGAGTGGAATAAAGTTCGAACCTGGAACTCAATAGTTGAAAGTCGAGTTCGTTATTTATTAAGTCATCACTACAAACAATTATTATTTTCGCTTTTTACATTAAAAAAAAGAAACTACAACACAAAAGCTAAAAATAGTGTGTTTTGAATAGTCGAACTAATCTCCTGAATTGACTTCCTGGATGATGTGAATCCCAGGTGACAAACATCAAAATCAATTAATACGGAGTGAATGTATTCACTCGTCATCATGTTTCTATTCTTTAAAACCTTAAACATTTGATTACTTTTCATGTATCTGTCTTTATCCAAGCTACGGACTAGGTTTCTAATTTTGATTTCATCACATTTCCGTGTGCCGACTTGAAATGATAGATTTACTGTAAGAATCCATGTCTGTTCGTATATTTTATTAGTTTCGCATTCTTCGAAACAGTCAATATCATCTGCACTAAACGTACAAAAAACGTCCTTGACTGTCTTGTTCAACGATGATAAACGCTAAAGTAATAGTATTGTAGTGAACGAGAACCAATTTACTATTCAATGTAAAATTACAAAGTGCCTTCGTAAAATATGAAAACCATACATTAAATACATTATTTTCACAACTTCCTTCAGTTGTCTTTTACATGCTTGATGATTCGTTAAATTCCGTTGTTATCACAATTGCAATTACAATAGCATGCACAACAGTACAAAGCTATCGTCTTAAATAGTAGATTAGTCTGTTTAGGAAAGAGAGAGGTGAAGAGAGAGAAGATGCAGAGTACACCATCCCATTACACATATTCATATATCAGGTTTATTTATCTATCAAACGAAAATGCTTTCACAATAACTAATGAATCATACGTTTGAGAAAAACAATTTATAGAGTCTCTAGTGTCATTCAGAAACTATGGCTGACGGTACTTAAAAACATTGTTGGGACAATTTCTTACGATATTAAATAACAAATGAACCTTTTCGAAATCTCCTACGTTAAAAATGAATGAAACATGTCAGAGGTTGTAAGTTGACAATTCACGATGATGGACAATAAAATCGACACATCAATCAATCAATAGCGTTAAGGAAAAGACGCAAAAATCGTACGTTTATAGGACGTACCGTTGACTGATCCTTGAGATTACCGGTAGTTTTCTTATTTGATGTACCATTAGATTTAGAATGACCAGGGAAAGACATTCGAGATAACGACTTAGAACTACAACTGCTAGTACTACCACTCCCATTACTGTTATTCTTATTATTCGCAGTTGTAGTATCACGAGATGATCCATCCATAGAACTATCTTCCTCCCTCAGACATTCTGGATGATTTACGTCCTAAAAAATGGTGAAAAAAACAATAGGAGATCAATTTATGTTTTCTTAAGAGTCATAGTAATCTATGTTGCAAGATCTTGATTGAATTCATCCGGTTATTTTGGTGAGCATTGATTTCCAGTAACAGACAACTAAACTGAATCAATTACATACGGTTGCTAAGAATTAGCTCTGCCTGGAGCCCTTATAGAGTTACTGCTGGTCCCAGGCCCGGAAAAGAGAGTAGAGTTGGGCTGAATAAACTTTCTCCTAAGAGAAGAAGGGTCTTTCATATAGAGGACTAACGGCACCTCATTATGAAGGCCGGGTTTCTTCGGAAGCCACAAGGCCGACGGTCCTTCTAACAATCAGAACAATAAACGTAAGCACACAGAATGTCTAGACAACGATCGGAAGGATCATTCAAATAGCAGCAGAAATTAGAAGATAAAACCTGGCTCCGCTCAGAATAAGCGGAACGCATTGGAGACAAGCTGGACAAAAAAAGAATAGCTTAGGAACAGGTTTTATTATATTCTGCTTACAAAGGAAAAATTCCCCACATACACAAGGAGTTCCATTGATGCCCTACAAAGATGAATGATAAGCGCTTATGGGATGCGAAAACTACGGATTCGAGATCATCAAAACATTCTTCAAAACAAAGAAGGAATGGATTGTAATGAATGTCATACACTGCTACGCTTTTGATAAAAATAGAAGAGGTGCTAGGAAAGAGTTTTATGAGAAGCTGCAGTCCGTCCTAGAAAGTGCACCAAAAAGAGACCTGACCATCTAGATAAAAGAAATAAAAACACTAAGGTCAGGATGGACAACACCATGGGGCAATATGAACTGAGAGAAAGGCATGGAGGTGGTGAGAAATTGACAGATCCATGTGTTTTTAACAACATAGTTATAGGTGGTAGCATTAATTCTCACAGACGCAAACAAAGATACATGGGTTTCGCTAGATCACACTACAGAAAACCAGATTAACCACATCTATATGAAGAAAAACTTCAGAAGGTTCATTGAAGATGTAAGAACAAAGAGAGGAAATGATGTAGCTACAGATCACCATCTGGTGGTGACCAAGTTAAAAGTGAAGCCAATGAGACTTTAGACAATTTGAAAAATTGGGAGGAAGAACAGGTGCCAACAGACTGGAAAAAGAGACATCTCATCGAAATACCGAATGGAGATCGAAATTAGTATGAGAAATACAGGTATCACACTACTATCAGTATCAGATAAGATCTCAACAAAATGTTATTTAACCGAATGTAATCTAGACATCTAGCTTCGAGATCAACAAGCTGCATTTAGTAAGGATAAATCAAGCGCTAATCAAATGGTGACACCAAGGATCATTGTTGAGCAATCAATAGAATGGAACTTACTAATATACATTAACTAACTTGATCATAGGGAAGCATCTAACAGTACCAAAGAAAACCTTGTGGAATCTTCTTAGACACTACAAAGTACCTGGGAGGATCATCAGCACTATATAGGAAATTATATAGTGGGCTACAATGCGAAGTCCTGCTCAGAAACAGGCCACAGATGTTTTCTGAGTGAAAACCACTGCAAGAAAGGCTGCTTACTCACTACTTTTCTTTTCATGGTTGACTACATTACGAGAACCATATGACTGGAAAATCCCGACTATGGTGGAAATTTTGAACGCAAACGGATGACTTGGACTATATTCTATCCCACACATAGTAACAAATATAGATAAAGGCCCCCAAGTGCCCTGGAACGGTCAAGAGTGGGGAGTCAGAGCTCCTCGAAATACCATACGTATACAACAACTGTCAGGGAAGTCCTGCTCATCGCCTTCTCGTGGTAGCGATGCTGTTTACGAAATTCAGAGGACGAAAAGCGAATGTCTGGAGCTTTAACTGAGTTGGTGAACACAGAGAGTCTAACCAGGGTAGTTGGAAAACCCTGATTCCAAACCATTGGTACATATGGGCTCCAGGATCCTAAGGGAAAAAGAGGCGTATAAACCTTTTGTTGGTTAGTGGCAACTATGGGACTTCATCTTCTAAGGCTGCTCCACCGCCATGTAGATCAGACCTCTATATCAAAGGCTTAGCAAGTGACCTCAAAAGAAAACCACCTGCTTCAGTTTAGACGCTCGGGCATTACACCAGCCCTCAAATAAATCGAATGACAGTGTGGTGCATGTACATCTGGTGTCTCCTTGTATCAATTTTTATATGTGTAAATAAATAAGAAAAAAAAACAATACAGGTAGAGACTGCCACTTAATATGCATGCCCAACCACCGGCTACCACGAAGCGCAATACTGACTAGCGTTGGAGACGGACGGAAGAACGTTGGGGGCGGTCAAACCAAAACATGGCATCAGTCCTTGAAGTCACTAACGTCTGGTCTAAGACATGTTGATAGATGCAGACTACTTGGTTGGAATCTCCGCGACTATCGTAACTAGTGGTTGTGGAGATTGGGTGCTATGGTTCAGAATTGATCACAATGGCGTAGGTGTATACACTTTTTGTGTTAATGAGGTATGACAATTTAAACCATTGCATATGTGCCTGGTCCTGCGTTGTAGACGATTGAATGACTAAGTGGTTGGCGGATTCTGGTTGGTGGCCTGCGCTCCACTAGGAATAACAGGCGTAAGTAAGTAGCCAAGTAACTAACATGCAATGTAACCAAGATAATTACACTAATTTATACAACGGTCGCATAGGTAGTCCATTTTGTATAAATGTTTCTTAGAGACCTGCGATTGGCAGCATGTGCCCCAAGATGTGAAACAGGCTTAAGTGAAGTGAAGTGGGTGGGACGAATTGTTATTTAGAGGAAAAATTTAGCAATGGCACGTGCCATAAAATCGGAACATCTATCAACATCAAATATGGAGACGTGGTAGACATTAAACTCAGATACAAATTAGTAGTATATCAATACGTTAAAAGCAAAAAGTAAAGGTCAGTGAATGGCTAAGCAATCGATTTCAAGAATCAAACGACCAATAAATTAGTTTTTATTGTTGATACGATGAAAATGTTGTATAAAAAGGTTGTATAAAACTCACTGTCATAATAATTATCGTCGTTTTGAAATGCGGCACTAATCAACAAAGGAAATTCACATTTATATCAAATTCTTACTAAAACTGAAGGTTTACTCTATATATATATATATATATATATCAATCTGACGATATATTGTATTTAATTACATTTATAAAATTACCCATTAACTTGTACATGAACTAGAATGAGGTAGATATTCAAATCATACAAATAACTATTTAAATTATATTGAAGTGAACCAGTTAATTTAGAAGAAAAAGGTAAAACGTTTACCTTGACTGAGCCCCTTTTGAAGAGGCCAAACATATCAGGTCCTGAACTAACGGGTCTTTCTTTACTGGTATGATCACTGGGACCAATACTAGAACGAGGTCGAACCATCCTGGATGTGGGAGGTAAGCTAGCTGCATTGGTTGGAGGTATTTGGGGAGATAAACTGGGGTTAGGTTCTAAGTTAGTCTGAAATAAAATAGGGAAAATTGAAATAAACTTTATGAGTAGTTGCGGCCAGGATAATTCGTTTGCAAACTATTATGATAAAATCATGAAGACTTATTTTCGTTGACCTAAACTTGTATCCAGTTTTAGATACAAAACGTTTGCTGTAAGATTTGTAAAAGACATGGGGAGTATAAACTAAATGTATGACGTAACTTAATTTAGTTCCTCTAAAATTAGCAACAGTCGAGGCTTCTCTTCATGACTAAATCTTATTTATATTCACTACATGCCCAAAGGCATATAAGGTTAAAACCGAACATAATTTTAAATAAAGCAACAACGATAATGTTTTCACAATACAAGAAGTTTAAATGGATCGTGTATTTTATTGTGTGATATTATCTTCTACTAAGTTAGTCGTAAAGAACATGGAACTTGGTACAAAAGTGTCCCAGTCTTGTTTAGCATAGCCTACATCAGCACACAAATAGAAAATTGACAAGATAAAAACCGAAGGGAGTGAAATAATAATACCAACAAGTCAAAACTTAAAGCATGGAAAAATTAGTTAGTAATAGAAAATGTTATTAGTTAAGTCGTATTAAGTTAAACCAAAAGTAGACGGTACATTCAACTGCATCAAGATGAGTGAACAGTTTTGGTTATATGTCAATTGAATTTTAGTTATGCTTAAGTTTGATCACTCCTTGACTAGAGAACAACAACTGAATTTTACTTATTACTTATTACTTTTAAATAAAGTATTTTGCTTAGTACACAAGTGTAAGAAAGTGGTATGTTATTATATATATATATGTCAGAGTCGTAATTTGTCTAGTTTTTCCGTAAAAAGTAAAAGATAATGGTGATAATTAGAAGACAAAAAGAATGAAACTTACTAATTAGATGTAGGTCAGTTCGTTACAATGCAAACCAAGTTATTTGATGATAACGGTAAATAAAAGTTATGTAATCAGACTGAACTAGTCGAAGTCGATTTCAACCAACAACTTAGTTGGAAATAACGGCAACTCATTGACTAGGTACATTTTTTGTTCTTTATTTTTGAGCAGCGTTTTAAGTGAGGTTAGGGATTGTACACGGCTGCCCAAACAAAATGAGATGGAGTGGAGTGTGAACATGAAACCTAATTATTTAAAGCCAAATCCCTTCATCTCCAAGTCATCGCTTTATTGACCGACAACTTAACACATTACCAACACCTGTCTCTTAGATTGCCCGGTAGTAGTTGATAAGAAAAGAAGAGAAACATATTTCTCCGCTTAGAACTTGCAATTTGAATGAGAAACTGTATGTCAAAATTAACTTCCGTTAATTATTGCTACAAACTCAGCCTGTAGCTCTCTTAGAGTTACTGCCGGTCCCAAGCCCGAGTAAAGGACGAGGTTTGGACATGAAGTGGGCAACCCTATTCTATAGAAAACATCCTTGCTAAAAACGACCACAAGATTAAATAAATTCAACCATTTAAACTCTGCCCTCCGATTTGAAGAATTACGATGCCATGATGAAAGCCGAGATTCTTCGGGAGTCACGAGGCCAATGCCCCTTCTAACAACCAGAACAACATTTAATATAGGTACATGGGACGTTTAGAGAATATGGGAAACCGGGAAGACCAGTCAAACAGCTACGGAAATCAGGAGACACAACTCGGTGATCCTCGGAATATGTGAAACTCATTGAACCCAAGATGGACAGCAAAGGTTAGATACGAGAAAAATACTGCTGTACTCCGGTCACAAATAAGAAACTGCTAAACACAGGCGGCGAGGTGATCTTATTTTGTCCAAAGAAGCGCGGAATGAACTTATAGAATGGAAATCTAATGGATCCAGAATCATCAAAGCATCATTCAAAACAAAGAAGGAGGATATCACGATGAATCTTATGCACCCATCAATGATGGCAACGATGACATCAAAAATCAGTTCTACTCGACGCTGCAATCAATCATACCAAAGTGTCCAAGAAAGGATTTCACCATACTGATGGGAAACCTAAACGCAAAATTTGGAATGGACAACAACGGTTATGAAGATATCATGGGACAATATGGACTAGGAGAAAGGAACGAAAATGGCGAGAAATTCGCACATTTATGTGCATTCAACAAATTGGTTATAGGCGGCACAAACGCATACACAAAGTTACACGGGTCTCACCGGACCACTCCACAGAGAACCAGATAGATCATATTTGCATCAGTAAAAAATTCACAAGGTCAATAGAAGACGTGAGAACCAGGAGAGGAACTGAAATAGCTTCAGATCACCACCTGGTTGTGCCCAAGAGGAAACTGAAGGTAAAGAAACACTAGACGACCGGAGAAACAGTAGTACAAAGGTCCAATACAGCCTTCCTAAGCTGTAACAGAAAGAAATATCAGACAACTATACGGCACAATGAAGAAACTGACAGGAAAATATTATAAACCAGAGAGACCGTCCAAGGACAAAGAAGGCAAGCCGGTCAATGAGATTCAAGAACAGAGGACCGGATGAGTAGAACACCTCGAGGAACGCTTGAATAGACCAGTTCCAATGAATTCACCTGACATCGAAGCAGCACATACAGAACTTCCCATAGATGTTACTCAACTAACGATCGAAGAAATCACGATGACCATCAAATAAATCATCAATATCATTCGAAATTCATACGACAGACTACAGTGCGAAGTCGTTCATGGAGGACAGCTAACAGATGCATTCCAAGTGAGGACCGGAGTCAGACAAGGCTGATTACTCCCCCCTTCCTCTTTCTTCTGGTGATCGACTGGATTATGAAGACCTCGACATCGGAGGGAAAACGCGGAATACAATGGACGGCTCGGATTCAATTAGATTTGGACTTTACAGATGACCTGGCCCTTCTATCTCGTACACGCGAACAAATGCAGACAACCAGTGAATCAGAAACCTCTGTATCAGTAGGCATCAACATACACAAAAGTAAAAGCAAGATCCTCAAATACAACACGGAGAACACCAATCCAATCACACATGATGGAGACTCTGCAACACAGAAAAATTCACGTACCTGGTCAGCATCATTGATTAACGTGGAGGATCAGATGCAAACGTAAAGGTGAGGTAAGGACAGCATTCTTACAGTTGAAGAACATATAGGACTCAAAACAACTGTCAACTAATATCAAAGTCAGAATCTTCAGTACGAACGTCGAAACAGTCCTACTTTACGGAGCTAAAACTTGAAGAACTACCACAACCATCATCAAAAAAGTGCAAATATTTCTAAACAATTGTCAACACAAGATACTCCATGTCTGTTGACTGGATACCGACAGTAAACCAGCTTGCAGATGAAGAGGAAATTAGAAAAAGACGTTGGAAGTGGATAGGACATACATTGAGGAAACAATCAAATTGCATCACGAGTTAAGCGCTAACTTGGGATTCTGAAGGAAAACGGAAAAGAGGAAGGACGAACAACACACTACGTCGAGAATTAGACGCAGATATGAAAAGGATCAACAGCAACTGGAAAGGGCTACCCAAGACAGGGTTGGATATTGAGTGCTGATGGTCGGCCTATGCTCCTCCACGAGGGGGAACAGGAGTAAGTAACTACTGCTACAAATAACCTTCCGCCTCATAAATCGAGATTGTAATTGTGGTATAACTGATGAAAAACGCCTTACAATGACCAGACAGTAACAGAGAAAAAAGAAAATGTCATTTTGGTGCCTTGAGTTATTAGGGTGTTAGCGATCAATTATGAACAACTTTCATTGAAAAACTGATGAATCTCGTCATGGTACGCAGATAACTTATTCCTGTTTGACGAACATGTTGATTAAATAATTTTCTGAAACCCTTGAGTAACGTAAAAGAGAATGTTTGGGATTTGTCTATAAGTGAAGTGTGTAAGACTACTTTAGGACTGGTCTACATCAACGCCTAAAATGACGACAAGAAGTGAAGCAGCTGAGCACGTTTACCAACTCTCTTATCCTGAAAGAAGGATACACATCTGATGGCGTAGCAGACTGCTATGTAAATCTGTGGTTATGAACCATGGTCAATGAAAGCAGATGACATGCACAGACTGAATGTATTTAATCACAGATGTCTTCGAAGCATCGCTTATGTATAGGAACAACTAAGTAATCTATTCTGACGTCAGACGTGGGATGACCAAGTTATAAATCTGTATTAAGTGAGGTACATAAGACATGTGTTATGCATACCTAACCACTGCCTACCTCAGTCCAAAATGCTGACTAAGAAAGTACTAAGTATTAAAAAAGCGGGGGACTGTTAAACCAAGATATAGCATCAATCACTGACTATTCAACTGAACCGTTTCAGCAGTCTTAAACTACCTAGTTGGGTCGCGCATGATAACCGCGACCAGCAGTTGGAGACGCTGAATTACATCGTTTAGAATCGATCATAGGAGAACTACTTCATTTAATTCTTTTCTTTCCTTGAATCTGGAGTTGCGATATACCGTAATATATGTTTCCTTTTCGGGCTGTTTTTGTAATGTTTTAATTTCATCGATACCACGATTTTTTTAGTCCTACAGTACTCATCTTGTTAAACTCATTTTGTTGTATTGATCTCTTTTAATAACTCGGACTGACGCGCATTTTTTCCAAACTATGTTCTGATTATAAATGACTGGATAAACAAAATCCATACATATATGTTTTTATCCAACTCCTATAGGATAGCTTAATCAATATACGACTATTATAACTACAAGTGAACATAAATTTACTTGTAGTTTAGGGAATCTATCCTAATAATATAAAACACACGTAACAGGTCAAAACAAAAATGTCAAATTACCACAAATTATTCACAGTATAATTCACCCACTCATTATTACCAAGCATAAGAAAATGAACTAAAGTATTTTAACCAGGATAAGTTTATAAAAATTAATATTTATTGCACTGTGTTTTACAGCACAATAAACTATTTTGTTAAGTAAATTTATGACCGGACAGATAATAAGTTGGATAT